CTCGAAAAAATGTCTTGATATTTTTATTATTATCATGATAACAAAAATATTATTACATTTTTTGAGATATTCAAAAAAATGTCAATTCTTAATTACAAATTTTTTTGCAAATGTTTTATAAATATATATTATAAATTCAGTAAAAAATTCTTAAAAAATCTATATTACAAAAAACATTTATATTCTGTATTAATAAATATGGAATATAGATTTTTTAAAAATCTTTTAATGAAAACTTTAAAAAATTACTACTTTTTATTAAAAACATTGCAAAAAATTTGTAGTTAAGGATTGACAAACAATTTTTCATGTTGCTAAATATTTGGATAAAAAGTTTAGCGTCAAATTAATTGCTATAAAAAGGAAAGAAATATTGCGATGAAAAGTTACAACAATTATTTTTAAAGTAAATTCTTTTTTTTAATAAATATCTTTACATATTGTTTTTTAAAAGTTAATGTGGTTTTTTTAAAAATTAATTACTTCTTTTATGTTACCGCTAATTTAAAAGTTAAAAAATGATAAAAAGTAGCTTAACCAAAACAGCTCTACGCGTACGTAAAAATCGCTTAAGACATACGTAAATCACTCTAGGCGTAACGCTTTAAAACAAGGCCTGTATATATATATATACACCTATATTTATTGCATAGTGTTTAATCTTTAAACTGGGAAGGCATGTCCTTCCCAGTTTTAAGATTAGTCAACACTAAACATTCAACTTTCACTAAAGAATCCAAAGCAAATCGCATATTTTCGAAGTAAGTGCAAATGCATAAATTGTAAGGCAACTTTGCAATAGATTGAACATATATAGGTCATAGTTCACAAAACCTATTTATTTTAATCTTGATATCCAAATTATCAGGTTTAAAAAGCTGGTACATTTCATTCAGGTTTAAAGAGATAGTACATTTCTTTCAGGTTTAAAAAGAAATGTATCAGACATTTCTTTCATGTTTAAAGAAAAATGACGTACTTGGACATAAATTTCCTTTGCATTTTTAAGTGCCGAGACAAAGTCCTTAACATTTGGAGACAGTAAACTAATATCATCTTCTTAATAGAACTTTTTGATAATTATTTCAACTTCAGTCAAAGCTGAATTATTAACGCTTTTTGATGGAGTAGTAGTTTGTTTGTTGAATGACTCATTCAGCAACGTGACTAGGACTTTGTAACGTTTTGCAGGATCTTAAGGTAATGTTTTTTTGACATTCTTGAGTAATTTTCCTTTTATTTAAGCACTCATAATTGCAGAAATGCTCACTGTTTTTACAGAAATTTTCTTTTGCTTTAATGCAATTGAGTCGCCTGGCCGGGTGACTATTTAAATTGGTTCATTTTTTAACTAATAACTTGAATTACTTATTATTTAAATTGATTTTTTTGCCGTAGTTTGCATTTCTACATTTAGCAACTTCTTTTTGTCGCTTAAGGTAAATTTGTTCTTTTGTTTTTGAATAACTATTAATTTTTATCAACGAAGCTTTTGGTAACTACTTTTTAATCTAACGTAACAATAAGGCAACATTTTTAAAATCTGATTGTTGAAGTTTATTTTCCTTCTTTTCTATTAACTTACATCATTCTGTTTAAATTAGAACAACTTTTAAAAAATAAACGCCAGTTTATTTTTTAAAAGTTGGTAAAGTCCTAACTCTCATTCATTTAAAGTTACATAAAACATGACGCAAATAAACATAAATTATCATACCCGCTGTTAGTTAAATTAAAAACAAATAAGGATGTAAAACCGAGTGTATACCACTATATATATATATATATATATATATATATATATATATATATATATATATATATATATATATATATATATATATATATATATATATATATATATATATATATATATATATATATATATATATATATATATATATATATATATATATATATATATATATATATATATATATTTATATATATTTATTTATTTATTTATTTGTACCACTCCAGCTTTTCAGGCTTGGACAGGAATGATGTGTGATCGAATGCTATTATTGACTACATAAATGATAATTTTTATTGACAACTTGACCACAAAGGTTTAGGTGTTTTGATGATTTAAATATTTCAGAAATGCGCTCAAAAAACAAACGCTAAGCTAAACTTAAAACTTAAAACTTAAAAAAACAAAAACAATTCCTTATGAATAAGAAAATAGCTTTAAAATAAAACTTAAAAAACTCAAACTCAAAACAAAAATTATTTTTTGTTTAGTGCTTGAAATAAATTACTTTAAATCTTTTGAATCATTTTATGAATCATTTATTGAATCATTTTATTAAAGTTACACAAAACGCTTTTACAAATTAATTCTAATGATCGTTTACTAAATGAACAAATTTTATCAAAATTATTGTAAAGTAAAATTACATTATTGAAAAGAAAAAAAAATACTTTTAAATTGTATAAACATCTTTTTTAAAAAGTTGCAAAAACAACTTTTTTTTAATAATAACATCTTTTTAAAATAGTAATTTTTAATCATTTCATTAGTCAAGTTTAGAATAAGTCCTGTTTTAAAAAAAAAGCTTCTAAATAATTCTTTGTAAAAATAGAAAAAAAAATCAAACCAATAAACCATTGCATTGCAACAGGAAGATTTTAATTTAACTTATTCGTAATTTAAAGAAACTTAAAAAAGTAATCTTTTAAAAGATTTTTAGAAAGACATTGAAAAATAATTTCAAATGTTTAAATTAATTATAAAAAAAACATGCCTACAATAAAAAAAAATTAAATGTAACATTTAATTTAAACAAAAAGCATTTATTTTAAACAATCATTATAACTAATTTTTAATTTATTTAAAGCCTTCGCTTTCTTAAAATAAAAACTTTAGAAGAGACCAACGATTAACAGTTATTCATAACGCAACGATTTTTTTCATTGCATTTAAATTGTTAAAACATTAAAACATACTTGGTCAAATCATAAAGAAGAAAAATTATAAGCACGGTCATTTCCAAAGTGATTTCCTGCTTGAACTCTTCTACAGCTTGTTGCCCTGACAACATACCTGTTATAGTCTAACAGAAGTGTTCTCCGGAGCTGTTGTCTATACTTTCAAAACAATTTAACAAGTGCTTACCAAAGTCTTGTTTTCCAGCCTGCTGAAAAATGTCATCTGTTATCCCTATTTTCAAAAATTCTGGAGAGGGATCTGGCTCATCTAACTACTGTCCCATTAGTCTTTTTACTATCATAAGCAAAGTTTTGAGACTTTAATTAACAAACACTTAATCTCTCATCTTATATCTAAAAACTTACTTTCTGATCATCAATATGGATTTCAATCTTTTTGTTCTACTACTGATTTGTCAACAATAATAACTGATAGGTTTTATGGTACATTAGATAGGTGATGTTAAGGCTATTGCTCTTGACATTTCTAATGCCTTTGATATAGTTTGGCATGCTGTCTTCTCCATAGGCTTACTTCTTACAATGTATCAGGTAAAATCTTTAAGACTATTGAATCCTTCCTTACCAATGGTAATATAAAAGTTGTCCTTGATGGATAGCACTCTTCTTCATTTCCTGTAACTTCAGGAGTTCCTTAAGGTTCTATCCTTGGCCCTATACTTTTTTAAATTTATATTACTACCATTTTTTCTTGTCTTGATAAAAAGTCAACACTCTCTGATTGCTTGAAGCGGGTATTTGAGTTTTAAAAGGATCTAATTTCTGCTACAACATGGGGCTCTCAGTGGCTGGTGAACTTTAACTCAGATAAAACACAATTTTTTTTAGCTAATCGTTATTGTAACAGTCTAGATCTTTCTATATTTATGAACAGTAATGCACTCAATGAGTCATCTTCCCTTCCTCTTCTAGGTTAAACTTTTCCAATCTTTTTATGAAAACCATATATTAAAACCACTGCAAAACTAGCATCTGCTAAGGTTGCATCTCTTTATTGTGCTCACCACTTTCTTACTCCCAAGTTTATTCTTTATCTCTATAAATCTCAAAACCCATCCTTACATGTTAATACTGTTGCCATATCTGAAGCAGATCTTTGAATGATGTCCTTTCTATTTTAGACAAGGTGCAAAAATGCATTGTAAACATAGTTGGACCTGCATTTTGCAGTCAACCTTCAACCATTGTCACATCATATTAATGTTGCTTCTCTTTCTCTTTTCTATAAATACTATAAGGGGCACTGCTCTAAAGAGTTAGTGTCTCTTGTGCCATCTACTAAATTTCATTCTTGTGTTATTTATCATTCAATTATGTCTCATCCTTTTACTATGACGATTCCTAAGTGCTTCAAAAAATCTTATTAGTCTAGTTTTTTTCCTCAAACATCAGTTCTTTGGAATTCACTTCATTTATCTTGTTTTCCTGATTCATATCATTTGCAATCTTTTAAGTCATCTGTTAACCTTTATCTTGCTTTATAAACTTTATTTTTTCTCCTCCAGTAACTTCCAATATTGGTTGCTTACAGTCTTGTTGAAAGTGAATATATTAAAAAAATTTATATATATGGAATTATATATTTACACACATACATACATATATACATACATATATATATATATATATATATATATATATATATATATATATATATATATATATATATATATATATATATATATATATATATATATACATACATACATATATATATATATATATATATATATATATATATATATATATATATATATATATATATATATACATACATATATATATATATATATATATATATATATATATATATATATATATATATATATATATATATATATATATATATATATATATATATGTATATATATATATATATATATATATATATATATATATATATATATATATATATATATATATATATATATATATATACATATATATATATATATATATATATATATATATATATATATGACAGTGGCTTAAGATTAGTATTATTTATTTATAGAATTATTTGAAAATAGAATCACAAATAGCAATACCTCTTCCAAACAACCAAGTTTGCCTTGCAACAATTTAGTCTTTGACTTTTCACTTTCAAGCTCAGCTGTTAGGGATTTGCATTTCTTGGAAAAAAATATAATTTTTGATGCTGCGTTACCTCCAATACATTTCATTTCTTCATCTGCGTTTGTATTATAATTATAACATATATACGTATATATACCATAAACATACATAGATATACAGTACTTGTAATGAATTGGTAGCGATTGCTCCTGACGTGAAACAGGCTCGTAAATGACCTTCCAGGCGCAACAAATAGCGCTTTCTAGTTTCATTACGAGAGTAAAAAATTGCGCTTGTTTGTTTGGTTGATCTATTAGTGCCAGACTGTCATGCCAGGAAGTTCATTTACAGGCATGTTTCACGTGTAGGGAGTGATCGCTCCCAATTCATCACAAGGCCTGCATATATGCATACCTATATATATACCTATATATATACATACATATATGTATGTATATAAACATACCTATATATATACATACATATATGCATACATACATACATACATACATACATACATACATACATACATACATACATACATACATACATACATACATACATACATACATACATACATACACACCTACATACATACATACATAAATACATACATACATACATACATACATACATACATACATACATACATACATACATACATACATACATACATACATACATACATACATACATGTATACACATTAAATTTACTCTTAGAATCCACAACTGTGTGGTTTGGGATGGGTTTCAATTATGATTTTCATAAAGAAAATTCATTATGGATCCACATAATAGATAAAATTTAGATAAAAATATTTAATTGACTAGGTTGTTATATTCATACACAACAATACAGAACATTATATATTTTGATTGATAGATATTTTAATGCATCATAGCAGGAGTTTAAACTGGTGATCCCTGGTGTCACCAGGGATCACCATCATTTTTTAAAAACTGCAATAATAAAGAGTAGATAGTTTTTTCAAATAAGTGTTTTTCTTTTTTTTAAACATATTTTTAAGCTTTAAATTTAAGTTACATCGACTATCTTATAGCCTGCTACAACAAGGAAGTGCTACTACATTGACCATATTATAGCTTGTTGCTACAAGGGAGTGCTACTACATTGACTATCTTATAGCCTGCTGCTGCAAGGAAGTGTGGCTATATTAACTGAAAGTTTGGTTTAGGCAAGCCATCTATCATTTAAAAAAAAATTTGTTCAAGTTTTTAAACTTTCGCTGGTCTGGTTTATTAACAGTATCTTTAAAACTACAGTTTATGGAAGAAACTTTCGACTACCATGCAAGACTATATATATATATATATTTTTTTTGATTTTGTAATAATTCTATTGTAAAATTCTATCATTCATCAGTTTTAAAATTTTTATAAACTCAATCTCATCTCTTTGTATTTTATTTTTTCCATTAATAACTTCGTTCTTCCATCCTAATTTTGCTGGTTCAAAAGTTGATGTATCACACATTTACGTGGTATCATTCAGATGTATCATTCAAGGTTCTCAGTATAAATGAAATGGTTAATAAAAAGTAAACTTAGAGAAATAGAAGACCGCTCAAGAAGAAATACCTTGAGAGATGACGGATTAAAAGTAAGTGAAAACGAAAATTGGAATGAGACTGAATTAAAAGTGCAAAAACTGTATGAAGATTCGCTTGGATTGAAAACTATAAAAATTGAATGGGCAAATAAGACTAGGATTAGAGACTCAAAAAAGATTAGAACAGTTGTTCTTTTTTGAAATTTTCCTCAAATATAAATCTTCTAAATTATAAAGATGTTGCCATTTTAAAAAAAGTTTATGTTAATGATTACTGCGCTGAAACATTAATAATAAGAAAAGAGCAAATGAAATAGGGAACGAGAGCTTAGCAAATTTGCAATAATATCTTTTGATAAACTAATCATTCGTGAGTGGATTCGAAAGGAAAAGTAATTAATTTTTGTTATTTATATTTGTTATCTTAAATTTTTTTTTTTTAAATGGAAACTAATCGATTATTTAGGAATAATTTTGATAATAGTGCTTTTAATAATATTGACATAAATAATCTTGAACCTTTCCTAATAAATAAATATATACTGTTAAAAAATCAATCAGATATAGATATTAAATTTTATAATGATGAGGAGGGAATATTAAATATAAGTTCATATTATTATAGTTCAAATATTTCAAGTATTACTGCTGACATAAATTCAACTGCATTATATATCCTACACCTTAATATTAGGAGCTTCCAAAATAATTTTGAGAAATTTAAACAATTTTTGTTTAGCATCTAAATTAATTTCAAATTATGTCTAACAGAAAGATGGTGTCTTGATAGGGAAATTGAAAACATTTCTATTTTTCAACTTAACAATTATAAAGTCTTTCATCAAATTAGAGAGTCTGAAAAAACAGGTGGAGGATTGCACATTTTTATCCACAAATCTTTAGATTTCAAACTAGGCACAAAATATTTTGCTGTTACGCATGATTTTGAATTGTTATCAATTGAAACTATAAACAAAACTTGCAAGAACCAATTGTACACGTCCTATATAAACTGCCTTCTGGTAATAAAAAAGCATTTAACAAACAAATTAAAAACTTAATTATAAGCAAAGAATTATGTGGCAAGTGCATTTACTTTGTAGGTGATCTGAATTTAGATTTGCTCAAATACGACAAAAACAAAGACGTCAGAACTTTTTTTAATATTGTGTTTCAAAATGGATTTATTCCAACTATAAATGAACTCGAATCACAAAAAATACTGCTACTTTAATTGATCAAATCATAATTAATAATTTCAAAAACATAAAAACTAAAACTGGAATATTTATAACAGACATATCTGACCATTTTCTGGTTTTTATAATAGCACAAAACTTGTTAAATCAACTTTCTAAAAAAGTAAAAACAAAAAAACAAGTAATTAAGGATGCTTCTCTTGTGACATTTATAGCTTTTATTGAAGACAAACTGGGAATCTGTTTTGAAAACCAAAAATTTTAATGAAGATTATGATAAATTTTATCATATATTTGAATGTCACTACAATAAAGCATTCCCAATAACAACTAAATTTATTAAAACAAAAATCCCTGGATAACACCTGGAATCATAAAATCTTCGAAAAAAAGCAACGATTGTATGAAAAGTTCATTACAGAAAAAACTTTTTAAAATAAAACAAACTTTAAAAACTATAATCGTCTTTTTGCAATGATTGTAAAGCGTTCAAAAAAGTTTTACTATAGTAGCCAATTATTAAAATACAAAAATGATATACAAAAACTTGGAATATAATAAAAGAGGTTATAGGTAAAAAAGATATGAATGTTAGTTCTTTACCAAAAAAACTAATTATAAATGGCTGTGAAATTAATAATGATGCAATAATTGCTAATTCATTTAACCATGTATTTGTTAGCACAGGTCCAAGTTTAGCATCAAAAATAAAAAAAAAGTAAAACTTGCTTCAAATCATACCTAAACTCTAATAATAATACAATGAACAATAATATGCTAACAGAAACAGAATTGCTTGATGTCATGCAATTACTTAAACCAAATAAAGGTAATGGAGTTGATGATGTAAGCAGTAATGTAGTAATTAAATTGATGCTTTATTTAAAAATTCTGCTTTTGCATATATTTACGCTCTCTTTAGAACAAGAAATCTTTTGCGATAATCATAAAGTTGCAAGGATAATACCTATACTAAAATCAAGAGATGAGACTAGTGTCTCCAATTACAGGCCTATCTCCATACTATCATGCTTTTCAAAGTTATTAGTACACATTATGTATAAAAGATTGTATTACTATTTAGATGCAAACAATATTCTCTAAAGTAAGCAATTTGGGTTTAAAAAGAGCCACTCTACTGATCAGGCTATTGTTCATCTTGTTCATGATATCTTTAAATCATTTAATGAAAATAAATATATATTAGATGTATTTATTGATCTCAGTAGACTTTTGACATTGTTATCATTACATTTTATTAACAAACTTAGAAAACTATGGTATTAAACATCTAAATATTGCATGACTTAAAAGTTATTTGTCAAATAAAAAACAATAAATTTCTTATAATGAAGGTAAAACGACCAATATGAACATATGAACATAACATGTGGGGTTCCTCAGGGATTTATATTAGGACCGCTCACATTTCTCATTTTTATTAATGATTTAAGCAAAGCATGTACTGATACAATTTTATTTGCAGATTTATTTTATACACATAAACAAAGAGCTATTAAATCTTACTGAATGGTTTAATGCAAACAAATTATCTCTAAACGTAACCAAAACAAAATATACTTTTTCCCATTGTTTTCATGACCAAGATAAAATTCCTTTAAAACTTCAAAAACTTTGTATTGCCTATCAGGACATAAAAAGAAAAAACTACTTTAAAATTTATCTGCGTCTTAATGAAAATGTGACGTGGAGAGATCGCATACAATATCTTGAAAATACAATCTCAAGGAACATAGGCCTGCTTTACAGAGAAAAGCCTTTTTAAAATCCAACTTGCTTAAAGCTTTTATATTTCTTGTTCATTAATAGCCATCTTAATTATGCAAACATTGCTTGGTGCAGTACAAATAAAAGTAAAATAACAAAACTATTTAATAAACAAAAGCATGCTATCAGAATCATTTCTAATGTGGTGTATTTGCTTGGATGCTTTTTAGTAATAATAAGACCAATTATGTCTTCTTCTTGCCCCTGCTATTTGTATTTATATTATGGTTTACGACTTGAATAATATCTATAATGAAAATATATATGGAAAAAAAAAAAAAAAAAATTCTGAAAAGTATAAATTTTCATTGACTAAATCTTTATATCTTAAACTTTCATTTAAAAAAACAAGCTTTATATGCATAATATAAATTGTTTTATTTTAAACTTTACTGCAACTGTATTATAGTGATTTGAGTTCTTTGTCAGAATCAAGAGGACTAGATAAGCAACATTGGTAAGAAAGGAAGTGTAAACTTCCTAGTTAAATTCCATCGTGCTTTGTGACACAATGTTTTAGTCTTTCTTGGAGCAGCTTGACAACTAAAAAAAAAATTAGGTGATTGTAGATTGTTATGAGGACTTTTCAAGTAGAAACTTTAAATTGTTAGCTTATTGTTTTTTTTGTATTTGTATCAACAATTACGATTTTAAATAAAGTGGATCTTTGCTAAAATCACCTACTAATTTTTGGTAATTACTAAAATAAATATGAATGGGATTCATCAATTGTTTTTGACATTTAACAGATTTTTCTCTTTTCAATATTCAATATATTTATTGACATCTGCAAGAAGATGGGCTGCCTTGTAATTTTAAACAAGCTAAGATATAATATCTCGCGGACGCCTAATGTAAAGCTTACAGTTCTTTTTTTGCTAGCCCGCTCTGTCTCAGTTGTTTCTGTCACTGATTCCAACTGTATTTTATACTTTGAAATTTTTAACAATGAGACACATTTCTCAAAATATTTTTAAATTACCTAAATCTTGATTTCACAATGGTGAGGATATTTAAGTATATTACCCCAAGGAATTTTTGTAATCAATGGTATTTCTGAAACCTATTGCAATGAGAACTTTGCTGGCGCTTAAACTAAATGTTATTTGTATTTGTTTTATAAATTGCAAAAACCTGATTAAAAACATAATACACCAGTTATTACATCATTGTATCTTTTTCCAAACCCATTATATTTTCATATTTTGGGTCCAAGAAATATAGCTTAATTTTGCTAATAAATAAATATTCGCAAAGATGATATAATCATCCAATCAATCCATATATACGAACTGCTTCTACAACTACTGAGCAGCCAATCCTACTTGATGAAAATTTCCAAAATATAATTTATTGTTGACTAAAAATTAGAATGAAAAACAACTCTGAGTAAAGGCAACTTTGTATTATAAAATTCGCCAATTACTGGAAGATTTCTAAAGAAATTTAATAATTTTGATTTATTTGTTGACTAGTTTATGATTTATTTATTTATTAGTTTGTTACTACTTGTTGCAATATTTTTATTTTAATTCAGTTTACAAAATTAATAGCAAAGTATTTTCTAGCGAAGTAAATCAAAACAAATTTTTACTCTAGATAGGGGAGACCGAGGCTAGTTGCAACAAAATTTAAAAAATAGCATTTATCTCTTATAAATTTCATCTTATTTTTTCAAATTTTTATCAGGGTTATAAAATAGATCTTAGTGAAATACTAAACCAATATTTATAAATATAATATAAAACTTAGTTGTTCCGCAATAGTGAAACAGAAATAAACAAAAAATTATTGCAACTTACCCCACACCGTGGCAAGTTGCAACAGTGAACAGGGTAAGTTGCAACACAATACTTTAAAAGTATAAACCTTGCAGAGTTCAAAGAAATATTACAAGTCAATCACTAATTTCTATTTGGCAACAAAAATTTTATAATTACATTAAAGGAAAGTAGTGTTTTTATTGGTCTGCAATATTTTTATTATAAGAGAATTCACATACACCTAACTAGTTTAGTAAACTAATAATTGTGTTCAAAGATTTCAGAGACTAAAAATATTAAACAAGAAGGGTTGTTATTTAAACTAATTTATTTTTTAAACTCCAAAGTGTTTTGGAAAAAAAAGTATTCTCTTAGTCAATAAACAATAAATGCAAAAGAAGGTTTTAAGACATTGAATTTCTGTTTTTAGAATATAAAAACACAATAACAATTCATTTAAAAGAAATTAAAAAGTTGAAAAACAAAAAAAATGTTAAATAAAAGTTGAATTTTATATCGAAAAAACAAAACTATCAATAACCTTTTAAAATTTTTAATTGCAAGTTTTTTATAGCTGACGTGTTATAGTTATATTTATGTAATGTAAAAAAATTTAGGAATAATATATAAAAACCATTCTTTAAAATGCGTCGTTGCAACTTAACTTTATTGCAACTAACCCAGGTCTCCCCTAAGACTTAATTTTGTTTAAATGTAATTTTCATTTATTTTAATTCAAAGTTATCCAATCAAAATTTAAATTACATAAGTTTTAACATAACTTTGCACGCAAAGAATACGCTGCAAAGATTTCTAGTTTTTAATACTTTAAATGTTAAAAATTGAAACACAAAAAAAAAAGAAAAAACTGAATTGTTCATTGAACTTTTCTAAAAATTTTCATTGATAATAATTGGTTAAACAAAAAATTTAGAATTTTGCCTCCATTACCAACCCCCCCCCCCCCACCTATTACTAGTGAATCTACTCTATCACTTTAGTAAACAAAACATTATAAAATATAAACCAAGTATAACATTTATATATATAAAACAATTATGAAAAGATTTGATAATATACAAACCTAAAATAAAAAAGTTATTTTCTGTATTCCACCTTTTACGAATAATTTTTATTTCCTCTTCCTTTTCATTTATTAACTTAACCAATCTTCCATTCTCATCACGCAATTCCTAAAATCAACCAAAACTCATAAATGCAGTATTAGGCTATTTATATATCTTAAAATAAAACAATGACTTTATACTATTATAAAACAATAGAGTTAGTGATGTGACTATAAAATTACTTAAAATCATAAGATGTTACAACTGTTGTCTCTCTTACACTTATCATTACTACTACTGCTACTGCTACTACTACAAATACTACTTTTAAAAATCATTTAGATTTATTTATTAATTCTTCTATAGTATCTTCTGTCATATATTCCTTTTTTCAAACACGAATTAACTTCCCTAAAAAAACTAAGTATTAAAACAAAAAATAAAAAACTTTAATAATTCAAAACCTACTCTTAATTCATCATTTAGCTCAAAGTCATGTGGTTCTTGAACATATTCTTTATTATGAATCTAAATAAACATATATTTTTAATTTTGATTCTCCGTTTGACCATAAAATTGTCTGACGTTTATCATAAAATAAAAATACCATTTTTGATCAGTAAAAATAAACTTCTAACCATTTAATTAATTTTCTGATTGAACATATCAAAATTTAAATCTTCTTTTTTGTTCTATACAGTTCTAGTTGCTTCTTGATAACCAGGATCATTAAAATGCTTTTGTTAATCAGGATCATTAATTTAAAAAGATTTCAAAACTTATTGTCATTTGCTTTAAAAAAAAGGAAGCTATTAACCAATTATTGCAATCAATTTAGTAAAATGAGTATTAAATATATTTTTAAAATAATACTTTAGGTTAACAAAATGATTAAATAAAGTTAAATTTTTGAATGAAAAGTATAAAATGCCATAAAAAAAAAATTATTCAAAAATCTAAATGTTTCTAAATAATTTCAGCATGCAAAAGTATATATTTTTAAATATTTATTTAAAAAAAAATTATTCAAAAAAATTAATTTTAAAAAATTATTTAAAAAAATTTTAAATTATCATTAAACAAAATAAATTATGTAAAAATAAAAAGTAATTTCTGATGTGATTACAATATTACGATTAATGTCTAATAATATTTTTGAACTTGAGGTATACTTATTCAGAAATATTAATACTTGAAATTTAAATACAATAAAACATTAAATCTGAAATAAAACATTAAATCTGAATAAATGAAACTCTAAAAATAAATATTTTGAAAAATATGACTAAAAAATTAACTAGAATTGTTTTTTAGCAAAATATTAAGTATAATTTTAACATATGTTAAAATTATGCTTACTATTTATAATTAAATATAGCTTAAAGAACAAATATTTAAACAACTCCATCCCGCTTATTTTTTAATTTTATAATTTTATTATCCCTTCATTTATATATACTGTTTAAAAGTTCCTGTCGTAAACTTTAAATTAATAAAAGTTATTTGCCATAAACCTTTCTAAATTTAACTCTTTTAACATGTTAGTTTTAAAACTAAACTTTCAATTGCTTCGCAAGCAAGTATCTTTCCAAATAATTACTTTATTTTGAATATCGTCCACATTGTCTCTTGGTTGCCGTGTTTACGCTAAAAAAAAGCTGCTCCTGTTGTGTTTTTTTTATTGTGGAAAATATTATTAATTATGATAATTTTTGTCATTAACTTTTCTGCAAAATAAACTTTAATTGCTTTGCAAAGCTTGCAAATTATTTGTAATACTTGCTTAAATAATTTATCATGCTGATTTCGAATTACATTATTTCAAATTACTTTTTTTTTTCATTATAAAAGTTTAGCTTTTACAAATTTGATAAAAATGCTTTTTTCAAATTTGATATTATTTACAATTTGATAATATTTACAAATTTGAAAAAAAGCCTTTTTCAAATTTGATAAAAATGAATTTTTTGACAAAACAATCCATTGTTAAATTAAATAAAAACATTACTATTATCAAATATAAGCAAAGTATACTTGGAATACTCTACTAGTAGAATCCATGGTAAATTTATTTTTTTATTTTATCAATAAAATACGTAATCATAATTCAAGCCAGCGAATTCTATTCACTCAATCACAAAATACTTTGGGATCTTGACTAAATGTTCAAATAGAGACCACCTTACGATTGTTAAACATTCATGATAACCAAGAAATTAATAATTTGATAAAAGACGAAATCTATGATTTACTTAAATTTTAGTATTAAACAGTTTAAGTTTTTGTGTTGATTAGATCTTTTGTGTAAAATATTAAACTGTGTTAATCTAAAAAGAAGAATGTGTAAACAAAAGATTACGAATTAACACATCTGCATTTGATATCTTAAAAAACTGAAATAAAATTTTTAGATATCTAAAATCGGATAAGTATTTTAATAAAACTGTTGTTGATGCAAAGTAATTAGCTTATGAAATCAACTTTGATTCTAATTTTGAATCAACAATATTACTAGACCGAGTCAAAAGAAAAAAACCCAACTTCTTATTCAAGAGATAAACTAATCAAAAATTCTAAAGTAAAGTTATAAAACAGATTTTTTTTATTTTACAATTTATCAAACACTAATTGCGCTAGATTTGAACAACTTAATCACCAGAGTTACTATTTTCAAATTTTGCATACACGATTTATAACCTAGAAGTTTTCTCCTTCTTCTTTATCACTGTCGCTTAGGCTAGAGCCGGCGTCAAACCACAGACCTCTTGGTCTGAATCAGCACTGAAACCACCGCGCCACAGCTGCACAGTTTTTAATCGAAAGCATTTCTGTTGACTTAAATCGAATAGAAAAATCGAATAGCAATCAAATTTTCTGCAATCTTTGCGCTTTTGGAAAGAAAAAAGAACTTACAGTAGAAGAAAAATATTTTAGCTTAGTTGATATTAAGTGTTTCTTTTTATATGGTATAGTTCTTGTTTATTTGATTGTGCATAAAAACAGAATGCACTTGTTTAGTATTAAAAATGTTATTTTAAATCTACTGTTTCGGACTAATTTACAGTTACGGACTAATTACATGTTATAACTATCTTTTTAAATAAATGTTGTGTTTTAGAACTATAATTAAAAAAAAATTATTATTAAAACTAATTGATTTTTATTTTTAAATTAAGGTATTCATTGCAGGCCAAAAGTTTATTTTTATCTGTTGTAAATATCTTACTATAACAATAGTTTTAAAGTTTATGTTTCACGGAGCGGGGCTATTCCACGTTGTACAAAAAGTTTAATTAAAATTTCAAATCTTAGAAAATAAAAAACTAAATGCATCATTCAAAAGTTAAAGGTTTGTAGTTTCTAAAAATTCCGAAGAATTTTAGCATTTGATGCTTAAACTTTAAACAAAATTTTTTAGACTTCTAAATAATTTAGATTTTTTAGAATTTAAATTATTTTTCTAGTAAATCATTTTGAAACCCTTTTTTTTTTTGAAACTTTTTTAAATTTCTATGTTGATTTGTCTCACGCAATATAGATGGGGTTCTTGCTTTTCAAATTGGAAATTTATAATAATTAAATAGTCTTTCATTGAGAAATTTCTAATTGGTCTTTAAGTTTGTCACGCTGTGACACTAATAGTAACATTTTTCATTCTAGCGTAAGAATATTTATTTATTTTAAATAAATATTTATTTATAAATATTTATTTAATTTGTAACTAAAATAGGGCAATAAATATCAATAGATATTTAAATTTAAATATTTTTAGTTTTTGTGTTATGTGTTTTAAGTTTATGTCACGTTGTGACGACACGGCGTGAAATTTTTTAAAATTAAACTTTTTAAAGACTAATTTTTATAAAAATGTTACGCACAAAACATGTTGGTTTAACATTTGTAGTATTTTTATTGTTTTTTATTTGTGGATAAGTTTTGAAACCTCCTTTAATATAACTATCATTGTTTTTTTTTATTAAACATGTAGGCAGGGCCGGCGTAAATGTGTAAATATGTAGACATATTTTACTAACACCTTTGTTATTTAGTTTTTCTTAAATTTTGTCGCACCATTGCTGAAGTTATTCTGAATGTTTATTGTTTATACAATTCTTATAAAAAGTAAACTTTCGCAAAAAAAAAACGCCAGAGAAAGTATAGAAAAAGACAAATGCAAAAATTTGGTCTGGATTTTTATAAAGGAAAAGGACTCGATACGGAAAAAGGAAAAACGAAATTCTAATGTTGAATTAGTACGTCTAAAGGACAAGTTAAGAAAAAAAAAGAGTAGAGTTTCCTCATCTAAAATAACATCTAACATCTCTCCTGCTTACAAATTATCTTGTACACTTGGTAAAGCTGTTAAAAAAATAAAACGTGCTCTTCCAACTTCTCCTCTTAAAAAAGCAACTGTCGTTAAACAACTTACAATTCAGTTTAACAAAGATTTACCAGATATGCAACCAACACATGGACCTAATGCTCTTAATGATGAAACGAAGCTATGCGTCATTAGTTTTTTAGATGGTATATCTTGTCAGGCATTTGGAGTAAGAGATACGATTGTTTTAAGAAGTAATAAAGAAAAAAAGAAAATGCAAAAAAGGTATTTAAAAATGAATATAAGTAAAGTATATCAAATATTTAAAAACAAACACACTGATTTTTCAATCAGTTAATCCAAGTTTGCTAGTTTGAGACCAGGCCATATACTTTTATCAAGCTTAATGCCTAGAAATGTTTGTTAATGTCAAAAACATGAAAACATTATCTTGTCACTTAAAGCATTACATTTCATCGATTTAAAAATTCCCCTTTATTCGCATGCTTTTAGAAAAAGAAATTACCTGGCACCTTTGGGAGAAAGTTACGCAACTTAATGGAACAAAGTACCTCGAAAAAGAAATAAAAAAAGACAAAGCCATAATTTTGTATAACAATGTTTGCATAATGCTATCTAAATTTCTTTTGCATTATTTTATAAAAGGAAAACAATCAATGAGTTATGAAAACCAAAGTTTTAAAAAGCAATCTTGATTCAGTTTTGTCACAAGTTGACTTTCCAGAAAACTTCTCAACTTTCTGGCAGAATGAAGTTCAGTCAACACATTGGAATAAAAAATTAGTAACATTATTTACTGCTGTTAGCTGGCATGGTGACTCTTGTAAATCTACCGTTATTGTTTCTGATGATTTGAACCTTAAAGAAGTTCAGTTATTTATTTTATTGACTTGTTAATAACTAACCTTATTAGAAAGGATGTTAAATACTTGCAAGTTTGGTCTGATGGTCCTAGCAGTCAATTTAAAAATTGTTACATAGTAGCCTAAATTACATGGAGACATTTAATTTTTTTCCAGACGCTGATTTTAAATCAGATTTATTTTGACTCAGTTCATTGTTTACTGTTGTTGATGTATTGTTCATCAGTTCATTGTTTACTGTTGTTGATGTATTGTTCATCAGTTCATTGTTTACTGTTGTTGATGTATTGTCATTTAAAGCTCTTGTGGTAAATCCTTTTTTTTTTCTTGATCGTTATTAAAATGCTAGATAATTTTTGTCACGTCGTGACGCAACCTTTTAATACGTATACCTAAAAGACTATAAAATATTCAAACTAAATAATTTTGTTTTTAAAAACTGTAATGTATATGAAAATTTTTTAGTATCTTTAATTTTAAGTGCGCTAAAATCTGATGTTTTTCAAAAAAAAAAGTCAAATGTCACGCCATGACAACGTAGAATAGCCGAACGGCAGTTTGTCTTTTCGTCCGGGGAACGAAAAAGGGACGCTGATAATCATATAAATATATAATAACGTTGAACTTAATAGTAGCAGTGCCCACTCGTGCGTTTAATAATAAACGTCAGTACTTCTGACAGTAGGTAAGTTTACGTAGGCAAGGGTGGTATATTTAAGTATCGTGTATGTGTAATACTATAATTCTAAAAATTACGACATAATTTAATAACTTACCATAATCGGTATTTAAAACAGCTTAATTAAAATTTTTTTTCGTTAAAAGTATATTGCAGAAAATTGTTACAAAAAGAGTTTAACAGATAGAGTTAACATATTTGGCATACCTAGCTCCTGTGACCCGTACGGTGTTTTCGGTCGTTTTGCGGGTCCTCTTTTGCTTTGTAAATAAATATAGTCTTAATGAGAAGTTGAAATTTTCCTGCAGCCTTAAATTTCAAAGAACACCTGGAAAAATGCTATGCAATTGTCATCATTGTTGGAGATACTTATATTAAGCATTTACATGATCAGTTATGTAAATCTGCGCATCTAACGCAGTAAAGAGACAATTTTTTCCTTTAAATTAGGAAGTTGATAAACTCAGAGTTTTTCTTTAAAACTAATAAATGGGGTAAGAATTCTAATAGGCTCCAAGTATGCAAAAAAAGTCGCGTAATTATTTTTCTACCGTTTACGAAAAAAAATGTTGAAATAAATAAGTTTAGAAAAAGAGGTTGATAGAAGATAAATAAAGGAATAAGTATAGAAAAGACTGTCAAATTTATCAATCATTTCTATAGTGATGACTAAAGTACAATTTGTTTAAATTTATTCTTTTTCTATAAGTGACTTTATATTTTCTAATTTTTAAGACCTAAACCGGTTTCAAAAATTAGAAAATAATTTAAAAGTTTTTTTTTTTTAGTTTTGAGATACATTATCTTTGTTCAAAAACAAGTAAAATTTTATAAACGGGGGGAGGGGGTCTTAATAAGCTCAGGGTAAATGGGAAAATTTTCCGAAAATTAATAAACTTCCGTGTATTAAGTAGGTGAATTCGAGTAAAACAGCATCGAAAGTACGGCAGAAAGCATATTTTAGTTATGCAGGTATACTCAAATCAATTTTCAAATCTACATAATCCTTTTATTAAAATACACCAATGTGAAAATTATGGGAGGTCTAGGGTTTGTTAACTCTCTTTAGTGATAACTCTCGAAGACATTTTTTTGTAAAACTTTTTCCTAATTTTTTTAAAGCCACTTCACAAAGATAACAAAAAAAGTTTACATGCGTTAACATGTCAAAAAAGTGAGATCATTACTACAGTTTCTTGACTTGTTAACGCAGTTATTACATATAATAGTATGTATATATTATACATCCAAATTATGTTACAAGAAAAACCTTAATCCATCATTTTTCATAAATCGACTGACAAATAGGTACATACATCGACTGATAAATTTTTTTTTTTGGAGGGGGTGGGGGAATTTTTCCAATATTTTGATGTAGTATAGAGATAAATATTTTTATGATTTCTTGGCAAAGATTCTTTTTCTTAAGTTCAAGTAATAAGTATTACAGTATAACTAAAAATAACTGAGACAAGACTGAATTGAAAACTGAGGTTAATTGAAATAAAATAACTACAATTAATTAATGAGAGTAGTTAGCTATCAAAAACTTTGTGACATAATTATTTTGATTAATTAGCAGCGTTGAACTAATTAAAAGGTATCATCGATACCTAATTAGTTCACTAATAGATAATATTATCTACTAGTGATAATGGCATTAAGTATAAATCATGGCATAAAGAATAAATTATGGCATAAAGTATAAATCATGACATGATAGTATGAAAATTATTTAAAGGGTATGAAAGGCATCATCAGAGAGTCGTGCTTGCGCCTAAAGTGTTTAAATATTAGGAATCTCACTAATGACTTTGAAACCATTTAGCATAAGGTATACACCAGAAACGATATATTGTTGAGATTTTTGAAAATATAACTCGAAACTCGAAAAATAGCGTAAATATATATTGTATTAATATTTATAAGTTATTTTGCTATGATAATTTGTTGCAATTTTGAAACACGGCACAAGTTAATAACATTTTTTAACAGGGCACTTGTTGATAACAGTTCTTCTAACTAAAAACATCTTGTATAAATAAAAAGTTTATAATTAAAAAATGTATTATAAAAATTTAGTAAAACCTAAAATTTAAATTGAAGACTTTAAAAAAATAAAAAAATAAATCAAATACTTTTTTTTTTTTTTACAAATATTTACAAAAGAAGCCTTCCATAAATACCCGAAAAAAATCATAAATTTGTAATAAGTTATAAACTTTAAAAAAAAAATCCAAAGTTAACATGAGTATATAGAAATATAAAAAAGAAATATAACAAAATATTTATTAAAATTCAACATAAAAATAAAAACACAATCTGAGATAAAAATTTTTAAAAAGTACTAAAAATAAACAGACATGGCGTCATAACTTCAATATAAAATTGAACATGGCTTCCCAACCTCAATATAAAAATGAACATGGCTTTATAATCTTAATATAAAAATGAACATATTTCCATAACCTCTATATAAAAATGAACTTTTAATAACTCTCTAAATCCAAATCCTCTAATAATAAAATAAGTTACCCATAAATAATTTTCTTTACCAGTTGTCTGTATAAATAAAATTTAAAACGCATCAAACATTCGTAATCAGCGTTCGATGTTGTAATTGGAATAAAAACTAAAAGGAACTCCGCCATAATCAATATTAACGAATAGTAAAATACGAAACAATACTTTGAAGACATCAACATTGAATAAAAAACTGACTTCCTTTCTTTTTAATAGATATATCAATAGTGTTTTTTTCTGAAGATACTACTACTTGCATCGACTTTCCTTTAATGTTTAGAGGAAATCTATAAACAACATGAAACAATCAGTAACATTAACTGCTGATGCGTTTATCTATTTCCGATTTTTTCTACTTTATTTCAATTTTTATTTTAATTATACCAGAAGTTTAAAAAAACTTATAAATTATAAAATTTTAAATTTTAAAACAGCGAACGAACGTTATAAAAATTATAAAATTTAATCACTTTGAGCTTTGAATACTCAATCATTTTTAATTCATTATTAATAATAAAAAACCTTTTATTATTTCGAAAGACAATTTTATTTTTAATTCTTATTGTAAAAATAAATAAAAATAAATAAAAAATAATAAACGCTGTTTTATTAAAAAAGATATCATTATTTTAAATATTAGTTTTCAACACCATCTCATAAATTTTAGTTTTCAAAACCAACTCATAAATTTTAGTTTTCAACACCATCTCGTAAATCTTAGTTTTCAACACCACCTGATAAATTTTAGTTTTCAACACCATCTCATAAATCTTAGTTTTTAACACCATCTTATAAAATTGGTCACTTTAAAATATATTTTTTTAAGGTTAAAACAAAAAGTTAAAATTTCAATTTTTAAATATGAAAATAATTTATTAAAGCTTAAATAAAGACATTCGCGCTTCGTCACTAAAATCCATGTGAACGAAATCATGTGAAATAAATTGCAAATAAACGACATTTTTTTTTTTATATTCATACATCATACATGCTAAGTTCGGAAAGTCAAACAAAAAACTTACGTTTACGACTTTAGAAAAAGAACAACAAAATATCACATAATTTTATGTTTTTTTTATTTGTTTATTTATTTGTATTGCCATTTTAAAAATAACTAAATTTAGTTCAAGTTAAGTTTTCACTTTTCACACTTTTCATGTTAAAAAAATTATATTTTAGAATATGCTTTCAATAAAAATTATTTATTCTTTATAATTTTTTTTTTAAAAAAAGAGCAGTTCAACACCGCCGTTATTAAAAATGCTATTAAAAGGTTTTTTCAGACTTTTTGCGTAAAAAAGTCAGACAAAATATCAGAGGCGAATTTTTTTAGTATTTGAATTAAGTAACCTCCAAATAAGTTCTAAACTCCAAACATTTGTATGTTTGTAAATATAAATATAAGAATGCTTTGCCTAAAACTGGGCTAATTAGAAACTGGGACCTTAAAAACTAGCCATCACCCGGAGACTGTTTTTTTTCAAACAAAATAGTTATTTACTTAAATAAGAGTTCAATTTATAAATACATTTAAAGTTTCATAAAAATTTTTTTTGGCTAAAGTTATTACCATATAAATTCTAAAATTCAAAACGAGAGGAGTGTAAATTTTAAATGGGTATAATTTCTAAACTTAAATTATACCCATTTAAAATTTTAAATGGGTATAATTTGTGAAATTTTACATGAACATAATTTTTAAACTTTTGTGAAATTTTACATATAATTACTTAAATTAAATTTTACAGTATAATTTGACTTAAATTAAATTTTACAGTATAATTTTTAAACTTTTGTAAAATTTTACATGAGTATAATTTTTAAACTTTTGTGAAATTTTAAATCCTCAAAATTCTTAACTCATTAATGAAATTTTAAATCTTCAAATGGATTCTCATCTTGTTTAAAAAATTTGAATATTTGAGAAAACAATTCTCTCCACATTTTGGCGCTCTAGTTTGCGCAAATTTTAGCAAAACATTTTTATATGACATAAGTACAAACATAGAAAAGTTTGAAGTTAAGAACTTACCTGGAAGTTACTAAACTCAAATACTAAAAAATTCTGGATCTACCTCTGAATATCGTCTAAGAAAATTGTTATATTTTTCTTCTTTTTAACTCCCGTTTTAACTCTAGAAAATAAAATAAACATGCAATCAACTTACTTAGATACAATTTCAACCCGCAATTCTTGTTTAGTAGCATCTTTGTAACATATTGCAATTTTTGTGGCAATTTCGATCAGATTTGAACAATACAATAACAAGTCTCCCTTCTGAGAACTTTTATTAAACGTGTCCTAAATAATAGAACAAACAAATAATAGAACAAACAAATAATAGAACAAACAAATAAACTGATAACATCATTTAATATTGGTGATAATATTGGTAACATTGAATAAAATTTTTTAAATTATAACCATAAAAACTACCTCTTTTAAATGTAAAGCCATGAAACCATCTTTAAACGGACTTGTTGTAATTTTAACCAAACTATTTATTTCTATTTTATGTGACAAACCTAAAGACTTTTGATTCAATAAAATAATGTGCGACGGTGATAAGATTAAAAACTTTGGAATTTCCTAAACAAAGAAAAGTTTTGTTTTGATATAAATCTTTTAAAAAAAATATTAAACTAAATATATTCTAAAATTTAACCTTTGCATTAGTTCGATTGACTTTGTTTGCCACATCTGCCACAATAACTATAATTTCACTTGTTTGCTTGCTCTTCATCTTTAACCATTGTGGCATGTTATTTAAACCTATTTTATCACCAGCGAAGGGAACTCCCACACTATCAATATAAAGAAAAAAAAAAGAAAAAATGAGCAACATAACTATAATATAAAAATGTTGTATATTTGATACACAAATATTGCACATGATGCACAAATGTTGTATATAAGATACACAAATATTTTATACATGATGCACAAATGTTGTATATATGATACACAAATGGGATTTTAATCCTCCAATTGAGTCTCAGTTTAATTCTACAATTAAGTTTATTAACCGTTCCGTTAATTTTTTTAGTTGAATTTCCTTTGTTAGCCAGCTCCATTAACTAGTTTTTGTTTTTAAAATTATTTTACTTAAAGGAAAGCTAAAATAAGCTTTTAAAATAAAGATTTTTTCATGTTAAAATGAACCTTCTGTAGGAAGCATACAAAAAATGTTATTCAACTTTGGAATTATAATATTTCAATATTTTCTAAAAACAACAAAAAATCAACAATATGTCAAAAAACATCTAAAAATAAATCTTAAATCTAATATACAACACTACAGTCACAAAAACATGGCTTTTTTTGTATCAATTTTGGCTAAACTTCTTCTAATTATACTTGGTATGGTTTCAACAGAGAAAGTTTCATGTAACCTCCACAGGTCTTAGTCTTAAACCATATACAAAGCTTTATTACTCATCCAATACATATTTTGCTGCTACAGTCCCATGCATATTTTGCATGCTGGGAATTTTACCATGTGTCTCTTATAAAAAACCCTTAGCACATTCCTGTTATAAAATTAATATCATTAATAGTTTTAAATTCACATACAAACGAAAAATATTTTTATATATTCAGCATTTACCATTTATTGTAAAAAACATTATAAATGGAGATTTATAAAGCCAAAAAATGTTTAATAAGAAAAAATTCAACTTTTAGACATTACTATCCAAGAGTTTCTAAATTAACAACATTTAACATAATGAATATATATATATATATATATATATATATATATATATATATATATATATATATACAAATAGTAATGCGTATTAAGGTAAGCAATCTGACATCATACTGAAATAGCTTGCTGCTGGGGGCTTCAGTACATACATCGACTGATAAATAGCCTGACTCGCAGTGGAGTGCTGCTACATCAACTGAGGGTTTGGGATGGGGAAGCAACCGTTTTATTTACAAACAGTTTTTTCTTAAAGAAATTATTTTTGCATTTTGTATTCTTTTTCGTTATTTATTTTATTTTTTTTAATTTAGTGGGTTTTTTTTAATTCGCCATTCTTAAAAATTTTTGTCTCACATTTTTATTATAATTTTAAATAAAAGATTTTTAAATAGAGATTTTCATTTAAAATAAAGCACTTTTCAATTCAATTACTTTGAATCTCTGTGTGGGAGCCAACAATATTCTACTTTTATTATAAAGTTAAATTAAATATGATTTACTTAATGGACAAAGTACATGACAGTAAATTTACCTATAAACTAAATTAAAACAACAATTTACTACAGTTGAGTTAGTCAAAAGATATTTACTTGCAAAAGTTACAAATGTTTCTATTTATACCTTATATGTTCTTAACACATAAGTTTCTAACTAAAAATTACTTAACAAAATTTTTTTTTTTATAATATGCAAAATAAAATACCATTTTTTTTTTATTTTTTATTTATAGAGATAACATAATTAAACATTTTCTTTAAATACGCAAGTTGTTTTTAGAAATTTATTTTAAAAAGAATTCTATTTGAACAGGAAAATTTTATTCTTCTAGAAATCTTTTACTCAAATAATCTTGAATTTGAAATTTTAAAGAAAAGTTTTAAAGAATTTTAACGGTTGTTTACAATAATTATAAAATTAATTAAATGGAAACTGACAACTGTAAAACCTAGTGGCCTAGGTTTGTAAGACCTAGTGGCTTAGGTCTGTAAAACTTAGTGGCGTAGCCACTAGGTTTTACAGATGTACAATTTACCAAGTTTTTCTGAATTTTTGAGAATGCCTCTTTCTCATTATAACCAAAGTGGATGAATCTTAAACATCTAGTAATAGCTAGAGCAACAATAAAAAAGAAGAAAAGTGCAAATGAAAAAGAAGAATTGTGAAGAAGAAAAGTGCAAATGAGGAAGTTTTATTTAATTCATAAATAATTTTTTATTAGTTAAACTTTTTTTTGTTTCTGGAAAATAGTTTAAATAGATGCAAACATTCTAGATTCCAGATTCTAACATTAAATGAGTAATAAAATTAAACTATAAAAAATAAATTATTCTACTTCTGTTCAAAATAGTTTTTTTTTCGAAAAAAAAATAAGGCATATACTTAAACTTGTGGAAATATAATTATGGAAATGTAAATTAACCAAGTTTTTCTCTCTCACTTGCAAAAACTTATTAAACCAAGTTTTTTTCTCTCACTTGCAAAACAATTTAAAAGAAAAAATTGAATGAAAACATCAACTTAAAAACAATTGAAAAATTAATTATACTTAAATTAATAATTATACTTAAATTAATAATTATACTTAAATTAATAATTATACTTAAATTAATAATTATACTTAAATTAATAATTATACTTAAATTAATAATTATACTTAAATTTTAAATAGAATGCTTAATCAAGAAGCAATAAATTAGAAAAAACTTATTTAATTTTAAACTTAAAAATAGTATTTTTTCAGTCTATATATTGATCATGCTTTAACACAATAACAAGTTATAAGTTTTATTACAATAATGTTTTAATATATTAAATAGAACAATTCTATTTATTTACTTTGCTTTATTTTAGGTGCATTTTATGTTAATGTTATAAACTGTATAAAACAGCAATAAAACAACGTAGCGAAGTTGTTTTATATTAATACAAACTTTTATGTTGAGAAAACAACAAAAATACTAATTTAACAATTAAAATAGCAATTTATATAGACAAAACAACAATAAAATAATCTCAGTATTATTTTATTGTTGTTTTATATAGCTTTTTACCATAAAAAGTTTATACGCTTTAAAAAAAAAAACGTGTTTTATTGTCAGCATGAGCGTGGTATAATTTTTTTTTATAACTGTTTAAACTGGCTTAAAAGTTTAAATTATTTGCCTCTTTACTTTTTCTTTTTTAAACATTTTAAGAGTAATAACAATTATGAAAAGTAATAGCGTATTAATTATGTATCATTACGTTATGTTAACATTAGCACCTTTAAATTATTACTTAAGCTATAAATTATAACAGTAACTATTTTATAGCTATTTTAAACCCCACCAAGAATATTCTGAGATATAATCTAAATATCAGGGATTATGTTAAAAAATAGCAATTACAAACTAATGTAGTACAAAAGACAATTTGGTACTAATGCAAATCCCCTTACTTTAAAAGGATAGCAGGGGGTTGTTGTTTTCAGAAAAAAAAATTTGCAATAGGATTTTTTTGAGTTAACTCAAGCCCTGTATATTGTCTCTAAAGATACCCACAAACAATATTCTATAAAAGATATGAACACTTGATTAAAAATTTATTGTTTTACATTATCCAACATGGCTTTAATGTGTGTGTGCGTGTGTGCTGCTTTAGTCTAAAAGTCAGCAGCGCATCTTACCAACTTGCACAACTTATTGAGCCAGCCATAACTTGCTGCACAATTGGCAACAAACCACCGATAGTTCATGCAGGGGATCTAAATAGCTGTCCAACTGATTTTATTTGTTGCTCTTGCCAACTCATTCACATTAATGCACATCCTAATTGAAAATCATATATTTTTGACATCAACTTTGCTTCTAAATGCTACCTGTGTAATACACTTCCTAGCTTTATTATTCTATACTCTCCGCTCAAGACATCTGCCAACCTCTAAGAACAATAACATTTTTTAACTCCAAGCCTTGGATAACACATTAGCAAACTAAATAAACAATCATTTTAAAATGTTAGAAACTGGTAAGAAACAACCTAACCTCTCATTCTTCATCAACTGAGAAGCAAATCTGCCTAATATCCCAATTTTTACCCTTTATAACATTCTCAAATAACTCAGCAAACTAAAGATAAGATTGTCAGGACAAGATGATTTTTCTTTGCTTTTACTCAAATCTGCTCACTTTGAAATTGCCCCATCAGTCTGTATCCTACTTAATTACCTCACAGAAAACAGTTACCTACCTGACCAACCGAAATCAGAAAACTTAACAGCAATAAAAAGATATCTAACCTGCTATTATCTAATAACTACCGTCCAAATTCCATTACATCCGCATTATGCAAATTTTTTGAATGCATAATTACCAATTTTGTTGTCCATCACACTGAGCACATATGGGTCTCAAACAAACAGCTCAGTTTCCTTCAAGAACGTAGTATAATGGACAACTCAGAACGTAGTAAAATGGACAACTCAGAACGTAGTATAATGGATGCTATTATTCAAATTATTACTAGAGTCATGCTAAAGATAAAAACAAATCAATTTTTACAATACTCTTTGATTTTGCAAAAGCATTTGATCTTGTCAGTCGTTAAAAATTACTACTAAAGTTAATGAATATTCTAAATGGCAAAATAGTCTAGTGAGATTATTTGTAGAATGTATTGAAGCTGTTGTACTTCAGTGTTTATGGTCCAATCCTGTTTTTTCTTTATTTCTGACATAATGTCTATAATAGATACAATTTATGATAAAGTTCCTGCCAACTTACCTCAATCTGTTGTTGATGGCATTGCACTTTGGTCTGAGAAACTTTGCTGTAAAATCACTATAAGTACTGGTCTTTGCAGTGTTTGCACTAAACACTGCAAAGACCAGTACCTATCAACAACTTTTAATTCGAAAATACTTCCATGTTCTTTGTGATGATGTTAGTGAAATAAATTTTAATTTTGTTTATACTTAAAAGCCATTACTAGCAAGCTGCTAATAAATAATAACTAGCAGTAAGCAACCCGTAATACGCATTGTTAGTAAATAAAATTAAAAAAAAAACCGCATATAGAAAAGCCTAGAAACTACTTTAAAATAGAAAAGCCTAGAAAATGACGTAATTCGACTAATAATATTAAATTAGCATATTAATATTATCAGATGGTCTACACACAAACATGCACACAAAAAAACAACAAACCTTGCTGGATAACTACTTTTTTGTTCTTTGAATAGTTCACTAGCTTTTAGCTTTTCACTGAAAATTTTTTTCTTGTCATTTGAAATGTTATCTCTATATTTTCGACACTAAAACAAACAACTAAAGTTTATTTTGACACACAGAAAAAAAAGAAATAAAAAATAATAAAAAACAAGCGTTTAAATAAAAAATTAAAAAATCTTTAAAAATTTTCATAACTAACCCTCCAACGATGATGAAGTATTTTTAGATGATCTGAAGCCACATTAAAAAGTACAAATAACTTTGGCCATTTCTCATCCAATGGTGAAAGTGAAGGAAGATTATTTTTTAGAACCAAAATAAAACGAACCGCCTTAAATTTTAATTATATTTATAAGTTTTTCATGCTTAAACACAGTTTGTAAAAATAATTTTTTTAAAATTTAAAAAATAATAATCAAAAAGCTACATACCAAACATTGTTTTATAAAGTGAATAATTTTAGGTGCAGCGTATTTGCGAAGTTTTTTTTGGTAAACAATTCTATCCTACAAGATATTTAAAAGGTTTTAGCATAAATATGAAATTGATGGAAATGAAGTATTAACATTACCTAACAATACATACATGGTGTCCTCTTACAAGAGCCTGTAATCGAATAGTTGCAGATCTTATTTTTAAAAATTGCTGTCGTGCCTAATATAAAAAAAAAAAGTCTAATATAAAAAAATATGTTAAGATTAGAAGAATGATTAAAACACATAACAAATAGTCAATAGTCAGTTACAATACAGAATTAACGGATACTTTTATCAAACTGATTTATACTTTAATTAAACTTAAAATTAAACTAATAAATAGTTTTAAAATATTTGATTAGGTTTTTTTAAAGTTTGCTTTCAGTAATTACAAGATTTTCATACGTACAGTAAATTTTCATTTCTACTTAAATGTTTAATTTAGACAGGGTGGCCAGCCAATAGCTAATTCGAAATTCAAGGATATTTCCAGGACTTTTAAAGGAAAATTTTGAGTTTTTCAAGGATTTATTGAACTTTTCTTGATTTAAAAAAAATATATATATATGTATATAAGCCTATAACATTTTAATAACAAACTTACTGCTGCCATTACTTATGTGTTTTTGACAAAGAACTCACAACAGCCATTAAAGCCAAGTTAATGACAAGAAAAAGCCTTTCAGCAATATAAGAAAATGTTGCTAACTAATGTCTAACTAAGTTTAAAATTATGAAAATGTTAAATTTTATTTTAAGGTTTACAGTTTTAATTTTTAAGATTTTACAACTAAGTTAAGTTCCTGTAAGAAAAAGGGGTATATAATATGTGCATATATTATCTATAGAACTTTAGAATTGTTAGAGATAGAGGGACAAGTGTACTCTTCAACTTGATTTTAGTGCCAATGCAAATTTAATGACATTTCAATGACTTAATGTTTAAATGGTTAAAATATTAAATATTAAAACTTTAAACCATTAGATTTAATTACTGGTATGAGCACTTTAGTTAGCCATTAAACAAATTGTTTCCCTATTATCCAATTTAACTTGAATGTTGTTAATACAGTGTTTGGTAATCCCCCTACACATCAGCCTTTGTACACACCTGATATTGATTTATAAACAACAAAGAACCAGCAGCACTGACACAATTATGAACTGTTTAAGATTATTTTTACCAAACAATTTTAATGATAATTTTTTATTTAAAATTTAATTTTATCAAAACTCTAAGAGTTACACAGAAATATTCATTTAAAATGAAGTTATTTGTAAAATTATCTACAATACAGGTTCAGTACAAAAGCCCTGAGAGATTTGTCTATCAGGGATTTTGTACTGCGCCTGTCATAAGTCATAAGTTAAGCATAAGTTGCATGCAATATTTTGATGTTGCATGCAACTGACGCTTAAACTTATGACTCCACTATTTCATGAAATTTTGATAATATTCTAGATAGATAAATATATTATGTCTTAAATAACTATTATTTAAGACATAATTATATTTACGACATAACTACCTAACTTAACTAAAAAAAAATCCTGATCGTCATAAATTTAATTTTACTTTTGAGTTTAAAATTGTTTTGTTTAAAAAACTATTTTTCTATTAAGCAGTTTTAAATTTACTAATGGCAAAATTATAAATTCAAAAATATAATTTTCATACTTTTAGAAAGAGCAGAAAATTTTCTAAAATGCAATGTCACATCTTTTATAAATGCAAAAGAAACAAAATTGCTAAATTTTTTACTTTTTTACTTAACCTATGTACTTTTAATCTAGTTTACTCTAATTACAATAATATCATTTTATCTACTTTGTTTATTATGACACAATAACATACATATTTTGAGGAAACCAAGTGAATGAACTTTTAGACAAGATGTATTTTTCAGTGATCAAAAGAAAGCTTATTTTTGAATACAAAATCATTAATGAATATTTATATATAGAATCACTATTGATTGTATAATATTCTTACTAAAATATTCCATTTTGGTGAGAATAATATACTAATTTTTGAGGGGTCTTAAAAATAAAACTTAAGTACTTAAAAATTCCTTTAAAAAAAAATTGCTTTAAAGATACTGGAGAAGCTAAAAGTATTGTTATGAAACAATAAACATTTGAACTGCCATTATGCATTTATCCATTTTTAAATTTTTAAATCTATTATACAAAAAAAAAAAGATGTTTACATAAAAAAAACTTTATATTTTTATAATACTTATATCTGCTATACTTCTTTTTTGAAAATATTTTTGTTTGCTATTGAGATGAGTGTAAAAGGTGTAATTTTTTTTTGTTTGCCATTGATATGAGTGTAAAAGGTGTACTTTTTTTTATTTGCTATTGATATGAGTGTAAAAGGTGTACCTGTTTTTGTTTGCTATTAATGAGTGTGAAAAGTTTTTTTTTCTTTATTTCATATTTTTAAAAAACTAACATAATTGCAATAAATAGATTAAGAATACCAAACTTAAAAACGAAATAAAAAAAAACAAAATAAAAAATAATACACAAAAAAAAGACAAACAATTGGTTTTGTAAGGGTTTTCTATGATTTAGAATGTTTCCGAATTACATATTGCAAACATAGAAAGGTCAAAAAATTAAAAAGTACTGTTCCAACTAATGAGTCAACTCAACTATCTAACAACATGGTTAAAAAGCAAGATTTCTTTATTTTTGTTTAACTTTCAAAACAAAACAAGACTTGATAAAAATATTTTAACTGAAAATAATAATAAATAAAATACCTGATACTTTCTCACATGACTTGCTATTTTTATTTGACTAACCTTCATTCGCTGAAACTACAATTTTACAAAAATAGAACATTTTTAATTATAAAGTATTAGTATAACATAAAGATTTTTTTAAAGTTTTTAAAATTTTTTAAAAGATTCAAAGTTACCTTGATTTTTGCTAACCACCCTCTTACAATCTTTTGGATTAAAATAACTAAATCCAAAACTCTTTCGCGTCTTTTATCTTCAAGAAAAAAAACCTAAAATAATAACATTTATATTTCAAAAAGAAAATATTAAATATTTTAAGGAAAAAAAAAATCAGTGTTTAATATACTTACTGTTCTTGGATCTCGAATAAACAATTTTGTTTTTCCATATTCAACTTCAGGAGAATCAACACGAAGTTTCTATAATTATTGAAAAACAAAAAAAAACACATTAGACTTCACAAGACATAAAAAATAAAAAAACATTAGGCTTCTAAATTTATTGACAAAAAAAGAACAGCAACAAAATTTTAAAAAAATAATTCTAAAAATATTGATAAAAAAATAATTCTAAAAATATTGATAAAAAAAAATAATTCTAAAAATATTGATAAAAAAAATAATTCTAAAAATATTGATAAAACACCACGAAGTTTGTATAGTTAAAGTATTATGATAAAATTAAACTTTTATGCAAAAAAAAATTAAAAAAATTAAAAATATTTACTTTCATAATTGTTAAAACTCCTTCTTTAGCTGTACCAGCATGGTATACTGGCCATGTGTCAGAGCACAGCATCTTGTATCTTAAATATTAAAAATCAATAAAAAACAAATAAGAAAAAATTAAAATGATTATAAAATTTTAATATTCAACTGTAAAACTTTAAAAAAAAACAAATGTAAACCTTTGCATGACATCAGGGTATAATTGCCTGTAGCAATATCCTGCACGTCTGACTCTAATGTTTTCTAATAATCTAAAACAAACAAAAAAATGTAAAAAACAATAAAAATTAGGTAAAAATAATATTATTAAAAAGAAAAAAATTTCAAAAATCTATATTTTAATTTGTGTTAACAACCACCCCAAGTATCTTATCTGGTGAAGTACAATATCATCAGAAAATTGACCAGGTGCCTTCATTTCATTGGGCTAAAAAATAACAACTTTAAAATAGAATTTTATTAGTTAAAAAAAATTAATAATACTCTGTATTATATATATAACATATTATATATAGCCAGGGATGGATGCAGTGTATTTTGGTGTTTGACATATAACAAACTCCATTTATATGTTAATAATTATATCAAATAAGGATGCTTTGCAAAAAATTGCAATGACTAGAGACCCCTCAAATTGAGGATGGTTCAAAATTCAGATATATAAATATATCTGAATTTTGTATGCAGTATACTTCATCAGTATGCGTCTAATGCTGCATTTATATATGTACATTATATATGTACGTATATAAATGGAGCATTAGACATACTGATGAAATCAGTATATATATATAAAAAAAAATGAAATCTAATTTCCAACATTTCAAAACAAAATTATTTCTATTCAAGTTTTTACATAAATTATTTAAGTGTTAAACATTTAAGTGTGACGATTATGACTATTGTTATTCGTAGTTACTTAACTTTGATAAACATTAAAAATAGGTATATATATATATATATATATATATATATATATATATATATATATATATATATATATATATATATATATATATATATATATATATATACATGAGCAATTCCATTTTTAACTTATGCTACATGTTCAACAACTTTATCAAATATTTGCCTTTTAAACTGTAAATTAAACTTTTAGCTATTTGGTATGAATGATGTTAGTCTAAAGAACAAAATAAGATGAAAAGTTTTGGGTCTGGCCAAAAGAGGGCAAACTTATTACTGAAAATGCCACTTAACTTACGTTACATAGAAAACAAGGGAAAAAATTGCTTCAACTTTCAGGTCAGATTTTTGTAAATCAGTAAAGCGGTTTGTATTAGAAGCTTTCACAAGATGTTAAGATTTCTATACCAAATTAAAAATATATATAAAAAATTAGCAGAGGTGACCAGCTAAGGAAATTAAACTGGTTTTTTTGATACTATATATTTAACTTACATCACTTACGTTGCATCACTTACATTAATGAGCGATTATTATTATTGAGAATTTTTTATATCTATTATTAAGAGTTAGAGTTATGTAACAAAAGAATTGCAAAAGTATTGAAATCATTCATTAAAAATAATTAACAAAAGAAATTTGAAAACACTGTTGGCACTCTTCCTTAGTGATTTTTCATAACATTTATGAAAGATATCATATCGAAAACAGTTCCGCAAAACCAAGAGCAACTTTAAAAAGTTATTTTAGTATTACAACTTTATTGATACTAACAGATGAGAGAGGTACAGAACTTTTTTGTACAAAAATCCTAAAGCGAAAATTATCTGAAGTGGATGCACGTAATTCAATAAAGCTTGCTAACAAAGGGCGTAAAATTTTTAATATCAAAATTCCAAAGAAAACAAAGTTGAAAGCCCTTTTTCCTGAAAACAAGATACCAGCTAGTGAAGTCTCAAAAATATACTAGGGTTAAGTGATTCTCAAACAGAAACTGCTTGTAGTGTTCTTAGGAGCTGAAAAGGACGAGAGTTTTTTGAAACCAATCTAAAAGAAAAACTTGTGTTTCAAGACTGTGTTTTAGATCGTTTCTTTAAATTTTAAAAGACATCATTAATTTTCATACAATATTTCAAGGGATTATTGATACCCTTGTTGTCAAGTACATAAATATATATAAAAATACCGTTAAATACAAAACAAAAACAAAAACAAATCAATGCAATGTTTCTTTTCATTTAAATACCGAAACATAGGTTTACAAAAAGAAGTTGTGACGTAACCCCCGTTGTCCTGATTTAGACCGCCGTCTGAAGGTGAGCATTCATGGCGCTGTATTTCAAGGGCTTCCCTCACTTTTCTGTAAAAAATCATTTCTTTAATATTGCAGAACTTCAAATCAATAAGTAAACAAAATATTAAGTCTACTGTACAAATGTGTCTGAGCTAATAAATCAACAAGTGGAAAAAAGAGATATATCACCAGATTATATTGTAAAGATTGGAATAAATGGGGGAGGAGGATTTCTAAAGGTTTGTTTCAATATTCTTGAATGTAATGTGAATGAACCTAAAACCAAGTTTTTATACAGAGAAGGAATAAAGCAGGAAAAGTTCAAGGATGGAGGAGTTAAGAAACTTATTATTCTGGCCATTGTTGAAGATGTTAAAGAGAATCACCAAAACATTAAGCAAATCATAGAAATATTGGGAATTGCAACAAAGGAGTATTTTTTAGCATTTGACTTAAAGCTTGTAAATATTTATTGCGTAATTGAAGCAGCTTCTTATACTCACCCCTGTAGTTGGTGTGAATTGTCAAAGCAAGACATGCATGATTTCATAACCTGTGTTCGCATAAGATAATTAGGAACTAGTATGACATTATAAATTATTTTTTTTACATTCAAAGCATTATTCTGGATATTTTTTTAATTTGGGATTTTAATCTACTTTTTTTTCAAAAAACTTGGTATGATTAGAGATAATGCAAAGAAGTACAAAAAAGCTTGTGAGAATCACAGAAAAAAAAGTAAACTCTCGACTGCACTATTTAAAAATTGTGTCCAAACTCCTTTGATAGACCTACCAGATGATACATCTGTTGCAAAAATCCTTCCTCCAATGGAGCTTCATTTATTTTCTGGAAACACAAACCGTTTATATAACATAGCTGATAAAATACTTTTAAAAACAGAAACATTAATTTCCATGGGTATGTGGAATAAAGTAAATGGATTTATTAGGCCAAGATTGCACAGCGGCCAGTTTAAAGGAGGACAGTGTTCAAAGCTATTGGATAACATAGAAACATTAGACAATATTCTCAAATCAATTTCTCAAATATTCAATATTCTCAAATCAATTTCTCAAATTATAATAGTAGACAAACACATTTCAAGATTTAATTTTAAAGGAGACTTTTATGTTTTTAGAAGACTTATACATATTTTTAATCTTATATTTTTAAATCATATGTATTTAAATATCAAAGTCTTAATATGGTTTCATTTGCCATAGAAAATAACTAAATAGCTTAATATAATATAAATATTCCATCATTTTTAATCCTCTTTATAAAGATAATAAACTTGACCAATACATCAGTATTATTTTTTGAAACATTAGGGAATAAAGTAGTTTGAAAATGTTTGCTAAATAAGTTAGTAGCCATAATTTATACGAGAACATATAAATTATAACAAATAAAAGCTGTCTATTGTGAATATTTCAAAGCTTTTAAAATATGCAATAGTCATCGAACAGTTCATGATCAAATGAATTACTTAATAGATATACAAGGAAAAATACTGGCTTTTTCCGTTTACAATAATGTCTTTTTTTTTCTTGGACCTTAAAATTTTTTTTTTTGGTGTTAATTTCTGAAAGTAGAGGTCAGTAAGGATCCAAAAAAGTATCACATGATCCTGGGATATTTTTTTTGGTTGAAACCTACTTCCACCGGGGTGTGTCGCATATATTATTAAAAAACTTAAGTTTTTAAACTAAATTTTGGAAAAAAACTTAATGTTTTTGTTAACTTATGTTACATGAAAATTGGAAAAGTTTTTTTGTTATTTTCTTGAAATATATATATTTTATAAAGTATAAAATCTGACCAACAACAATTTGAACATGTTAGCTCCATTTTTGCAAAAAAATTAATTCCAATTATGCAAATAAATTTCTGGTTAAATTAACATTTTACAATGATTTTTTACAAACTTTTTTTATCATGCAACAATGAGAAAAAGTGTAACTTACGGAAGCATAAAAATGACTTAATTAAATTAATTTTAGTACTAATAGTATATTTTAAATAAACTCTTATGTGTCTACCAATATTCATTTGCTAAAAGTTGACGAAAAAGAGAATATAATTTGACTATTTTTTCATTTTCTGCCGTGGAATTGCCCAAATATATATATATATATATATATATATATATATATATATATATATATATATATATATATATATATATATATATATATTATATTTATTCTTGAATGTATTGACTGTTTCCCCATTCACAGTAATGTTGGATAGCGAGTTCCAACAGTTCACAATTCTGATAGTGAAGGAATTGCTCTGCAGTATGTTGTTGGAACTCGCTATCAAACAATACTGTGAACGCGGAAATGCTCTGCAGTGTAGACTAATTCTTCAATGGGTTGTCCTCTACAACCAGCACTTGGCTCTCTTGTGATTGTTGGTACACATCATTTTGTCAACTTCTTTTATGATTTACACATCACTTTGTCAACTTCTTTTATGATTTTAAATTCTTGAATGAAGTTGCCTCTTTGCTGGTGCACAGTTAGAATAGTTAGGTAAGCTTGATTAGCCTTTCTTTATGTCTATGTTGTCTAATTGTGTATCTAATCTTGGTGACTAGTCGCTGAACCTTTTTTAGTATTTTTAGTCCTTTTTTGTAGATAGTGACTAAGTGCAGAGGGTTGTAACCACAACTAAAGTAGCCTCTGTAGTGGCCTTCATGGCCAAAGGAGGTGAATTGAAATAATAATAAAAAAAGATCCTGACTTATTATGACTCCTAGATCTAATTCTACTATCTTTGTTGTTCATGTAGTGTTAGATTATTTGAAAAAATATAACATTGTAATGGAACTTTTTCATGCCTTAAGGTAATCATTAGCCATATTTATTTTTTAAATCAAGAAAAACCGTTAAAAAATACAAAATACAGAAAAAATAGAAGAAAAAAAAACAAACACAACAATACAAAGCAATAGAATGAGTTCTGATGTCAAAATCATTTTATTTAGGAAATAGTTTAATCACCCATGTCGAATTGGGCAAGAAGAAACTTGTTTTGATGCCTACACTTAGATATTATTTCACTTTTTTTATTTAACAGACTTTGATTTTTGGAGAATAGAATTTCATATTTTTCATTTATGCATGATTTACAGGATTTTGTTGTAGGCTTGTAAGTATAGCACTTAGTGATCCAACGATTAATTTGCATTAGCATAAGCTTAATCGGCCACTTTTTGCATAATCGGAATGAGTACTGATGCCGACCCTCAGCCTTTTTTTATTAACCTACCCATTTTCCAACTGATGGGATTTTAATATATTTATCCTGCATTATGCTAATAATTAAATAATAAATAAACTAAACCTTATGGATTGCTTAGAATTTTTTGAGAAATTGACTTTGTTTACAGGCAAATTTGTTTATTCTTAAAATTATGTTTATAAGCTTTAAGGGACCTTATGGTTTTTGGATAAATTTAGTATAACTTTGAATGTGCCTCTTAAAGATGCAAAGTATTATATGCAAATGTCATTAAATAAATCAAATTAAAATTTTTCGCATATCATTGTTTAAAAGACGTCATCAAAAGCTTACTAAAGTTCTTTTTTTAAAGTAAATGATAATTAAATTAAATAAAGTAAATATGAGTAAAAAGGCAGATTTGAGTGATTTTGTTAAAGGTCAAGTCATAACTTTGCATGGTGAAGGGTACTCACAAGTTGTAATTAGTAAACGTCTAGAAATATCGAGATGCGCTGTACAAAACGTTATAAAATTGCATGGGAGTTCTAGACGTCAAAATTGCCACAGCGTTCACAAAACTACACCCTGTGATGATTGATACATGAAAAGTATTGTGTAAGCCAGTCCTCACACTTCCTCTGCCTGAGTTACCCAATTGGCCACGGAAATTTCTTGACCAGTAGGTGAAAGACTCAACCCTAAATACACTTTGAAAACCGCTATACAACCGCCGTCTGTTATGGTGTAGGGAGCTATCTCAGCTAAGGGTAGATGCGGAATCCACATCTCCGGTAAGGCCGAAAAGGTCAATGCTGCAAAGTATATAGAGGTTTTAGAGTCAAAGGTTAAGACACATATGAACATTTCTGAAACTACCATCTTTCAACAAGACTCAGCACCATGTCATACTGCGAAATCAGTCAAGAAGTGGTTTCATGACAACGATGTGCAACTTTAGAAGAACTGGCCCTCAATTTCGCCTGATTTGACTGTTATTGAAAATCGTTGGAGCTTAATGAAAGCTAAAGTGTCAGCACATCGTCCAATGTCAGAGGAACATTTAAAAGATGTATCGAAGCAGGTGTGGGTAAATGAAATTACCCCAGAGTACTGTGACAAGCTTCTAAAAAGTATGCCTTCTCGTATACAGACTGTATTGAAAAATCCTGGTTACCCTACGAAATACTAAGATTTTGAGACTTTTTGTTGATGAATTTTAAAAGTAATACTGCTAGATATGTTTTAGAACATTTTATAATACTAATAGTACATATAATACGATTTCATGAAAGAGAAACTGGGCTTGCTTAATTAAAACTGCAATTCTGCTAGGTACCTTAATTCAATGGCCACTTCTGTAGTTTAACAGCTGAAAGTACTTTTACTTTTATTGCCATAGTGTTGTTTTTAGAATAATTTTATTTTGTGTTGTTCTATTATTATACTTATTTAAGCATTGTTATCTATGAGTTCAAGTATAGCCTTCTATATTTCTAAATGATTGTTGTTTAGATATCTAAGTTACTAATAAATTAATTAAGAATTCTAAGTATATGCTTGTCTTAGTACCATTTTCTTTTAAAAATTGAAATAAAAAGCGTTCCTCTAAAATAGTATTTCTTTTTTGCAAGTTTTCTATTCATAGTAAAAAAACTAAAACATAAATATTTTTTAAATGAATTTGTTAAATGTCTATTTGTTTGGATATGATTCAACTACTTGTTTACTAGTATTGATTCTATGAAAAAATTCACATGATTTAAAGTTGTATAGTTATATAGTTAGTTGTATATTTTCAAAATTGTAATAAGTTAATTCATCAGTACCGGTATCAACCTTTTCCCATTCATCGGCATCGGTATCAGCATTGGTCACAAAAGTGCTATTTGTACATCACTAATAGCACTGTTTAATTATTTTCCATTTAACAACTAGATTTAAATTTGAATCTTTTAATTTCCAAAATTCTTTTAGTTCAGTGCCATTTTTGTACTTGAGAATATTAAAGGATTTTATATGGTTGGGATATCTCATTTTGAATAGTGTTTCACTTTAACCAATGTAGAATTAATTGACAGGAGTGTGAGTAAGATCATGATAACTTATATTAACTTGGTATACAGTTTTTTTGTTAAGGTTTGAAAAGAACAGGTATTCTTATTAAATCAGTTGCAGTTGGTTTTAGGTGAAATTTTTCTTTGTTTATATTTGCGTTGATTATGCCTTACATGTCGATTATGTTGAATTAATTAAAGGAATGAAATGAAAAGCTTACTTCTTTAATAATAAAGATCAAAAAAGTAAGAACAATATTTTTTTAATAACTATGACATAAAAGCATAATTATCCCAAAAAAATTTCCAATATGTCTGCATTTGAAAATGATCTGATAGATCTAATAAGAAACATAAAATTTCGTAAAGTATACAATAATTTTCAGTTAAAAGATGACATACCATACATAATAGTAATCCTACTTATACTTTTTCCGATATATGTGAATGTATCTAAGGAAGATAATACCCAATTACTAACAAATGCTATCACCTCAACATACAAGATATCAAATACAAAACCAAAAATCAAATAAAGAAAAAAGGTAAACAAACATTGCAGTATCACAATTTGAAGATGTGTTAATTTTAATAAACTTGAAATTAACACATCTTCAAAATGCTTTTTAAAATTAAAAGATCATTAAGAAAACTTTACAAAAAACCAAACTGTCCGCTTATTAAACCCTGTCAAAAATGAAATTGGCAGAATTAGTAAAGTTGTACTTTCTAACATAAACTCTGAACTTGTAAACTTACTTTATCTCAATCAGTGCAAAATAAAGAAAATACCACAAATTGGTTTAATTCTGTCAGTGATAATTGTCTTTATAAATTTCTTTTTTTTTGATATTAGTGATTTTTACCCATTGATAAGTAAAAAACTTCTTAAAAACGCTATTAATTTTGCTGAGCAACATCTGCAAAAACAAATAAAATTTGCTGAGAATCTAACTATTGATCTAACCATAAATTATTGATCTATCAATCAAGGAGGTCATTATTATATAATGATGATCAATTTGGATTAAAAAATCAGGCAATATATTTAATGTTTCAATGGGAGCATTTGAAGGTGCTGAAATATGTGAACTTATGAGAGTTTACCTTTGGTTTCAAACTGTACAGTTTTATAATTAAAATGATTTCAGGATATACTGTAATGACAGTTTAGCAATTTTTATGAGTGGTCCTTAAATGGAAAAAATCAAAAAATCATTTTATTGATATATTTAAAAGAAATGATCTCACTATATCAATACAGTACATTATGAAAGTTTTGACGTCACATTAAATCTCAATGACCATACTTTCATATTTCCATATTCTGAGCCCTGAAATTTTTTTCACACTGATTCAAGTCACCTGTCCAATATTAAAAAACAGCTTCCACATTTAATTGAGTTAAGATTGTCTGCTAATTTGTCAAGTGAAGAAAGTTTCCAAGATCTACTTCTATGTGCCATGATGCACTGTTTAGGTCCGGTTATAACTACAAACTTTTATACTGCCCTAATTTAAATTTCCTCATACCAAGAACCATTAATGCAAAATCATTTGATTTAACCTTACCTTCAGCAAAAATGTTAGCACTAATTTAGGAAAAAGCTTTTTAACCTTAATCAATAAACACTTACCAATAAATCAAAATTCACAAAATTTTCAACAGAAACATGATAGAAATAAGTTACAGCTGTATGCCGAATATGAAATCTATTTTAAATGCACACAATATAACAATAATAAATTATAGAGGCTGCCCAACTTTCTTTAAACAATATTTACTTCAAAGTTATGTTACTCAGGCAGATGATTGTTAATATAAATTTCTTATTTTTCATCCAACTTTAAATCTGACAAGTTGTAACTAAAAAACATTTTTATGGTCTAAGTAAAATTTTTTGACACATATATGTTAACAATTGAGTAAAACGCTTATTCACTTTTCTTTAATCTAACTAACTTCGTTTACACTTTTGGTTACTAGATTCAATATTAAATAAATATACGATATTAAACAATCTATGTAATCAGTAAATGTCATTTTTACTAGGCCATCCAATTTTGTATCTAGGGTCATCCAGAATCCATTTACATAAGGATGTGTCTTAAAGCACAACTATTTTAAGACTTTATTTAAATAGCTTTTGCAATGAATTAAAAAAAATAGTATAATATCAAAACTATTTCGATTTAATCAATTTTTTCTTTTAAATTAGATGTTATTTACATGGAATGGTTGTTTATCTTTTTTGGAAACTTTAATTTTGAATAAATGATTAAATGTAAATAAATAAATAAATATATACATACATACACACAAACATATATAATTACCTTTATACATCTTATATAGTGAGGTCTTTTGCTCAATAAATCTCTCATAAGTTCGGAAACAGATGACTGAAATAAAAAGACAAAATAATAACAAAAAGAATTAATAATAAAAAGAAGACAAAAGAGAAAAAAAATTTAAGAAAAGAAAATAAAAAAATTTGAACATGGGTAAACTATATATGTATATATATGGGTAAACTATATATGTATATACTATATAGGTATATCCCAAAGAAAACAAAAAAGTGCAAAGAAACATACCTTCATTTGTGAGCCAACAGTAGGAGGACGCTTTTTGTTATTATTACCAGGATTACCTAAAGTTTTAAAAAGCAAAAGTTGTTACATTAGTAAAGGGGATAGTAAAGCTACTTAAAATTTGCTACACAATATTTTGACCAAATTAACTTTTCAAAGATGTCTAATATTATAAATGCTAAACATTTTCTATTTTTTGAAAAAATATATAGCATAGATAGAAAAATATGACATAGAAAAAACTTTTTTAAAAAAATTATAAATAATTGTGTGAGTTTCAAACAGCTTTAAACCTATCAGAAATAAAAATAAAAAAAAAACAAAAAAAATAAAAAAACCAAAAAAAAACACCTTGTGCTTGCATAAATTTTACTATCAATCAAAAAAAGCTTCACTTGATGATTGAAGAAACATGTTTTTTTTAAAGAAGAAAATAGTAGCAGAAAGATACTGACCATATCACTCACTTCAATTGCATGTAATCGCCATGTAATTGAAGCTTATTACATGCAACTAAATCACTTTAGTTGCATGTAATAATCATATCACTCACTTCATAGTCATAATACATAGTCATATAAAAACAGAAGTCAGAAGCAAATTGAATTTTTTTTTATTATTTTGTAATTCGAATGAATAATCAAGCAACAGCATGGTTCAGTTAAAAATAAATCAACTATTCAAATGCTACATTTTAATTCATCTTAAACCTGTTAATATTTTTTATTTTACTTTTCCAAGTCATTTGATGCAGTGCTGCATAAAAGGTTGTTGCTTAAATTACCACCATAAAACATCCAGTCTCACAATTCAATGAATCAAAGCCTTTCTGAAAAATAGAAAACAAAGTTGTGTTAAGCAAAAATGTCTTCTTATACCAAAATAATCAGCAATTTGCCAGAGGTCAGTAATTAGACCAAATTTGTTCATACTACTCATATGCTATTTGTCTAAAACCCTAAAAAACATAACCAAGCTGTATGTAGAAGATATTGAAATAATGAAAACATCAAATTAAATGCTTTCCTGTGCATTAACACTGATTTTTCAATCTTGATTAAAATGGACTCATAACTGGCTTGTGAAATTCAAAATGTTTCAAATGAGGCAAAGCAAATTAAATATTTGGTAGGGGTAGAAAATGGTTTGTTTGTTTAGACATTAGACTGCTGAGATCACTTTATGTAAATTACATGACCACTTAATTTGCAGTCTCTGTCTGGTCTCTGATTCAAAATGTGGTATAAATCTAATGGAAGAACTTCAAGACGGTGCAACTTAACTAATACCATCATTCAAAAACATCAACTATAAGAATTATAGTTGATGTTCTTGTGACTTGAATAGCTTGACACAAAGAAGATGAAGAAAAAGCATTAATATCAACTCTTTAAAATCTTTAACAATATCAACATTTTTGAAACAAGAAAAAATGAGGTTACCACTTTAGACATAAAATGAGCTCTTAAGAGAGTTGGTTAATTAAGAATCATTTAACAGATATAAATTAGTTCTTAATGCTGGATGAACAAACAAATAACAAATTGGTTGCCATAGTGTGCTGATACCACACACACTGGCTTATACCAGTTACAGCAATTACTAATACCAGTTTTTATAAAAAAATGTTTAAATAATAATTTGAAATTTGGAAGAGTTCAGAAATGAATAATTATTTAAAAAATTTACTTTATTCATTCTTAATGCAAAACTAAATTCACCTTCATCAAACATATCTTTTAGGAATGGATGAGAGCACATAAACATAGCTTGTGACATATCTTTAAACAAAAGATCATTATTTTTGTCTATAAACCCATTCACATTATATATCACCTAAAATTCAAACAAAATTATTTAAGCATAAGGAATTAAGTGATAATTAAAAAATAAATTTTTCGTGTAAAAAACACACATCTCCAGCATAATGGCGCAATTTAAAGCATTCAAAACCAATAGTTGTATCAGATCGATTCTTCAGACGACTATCATAATGATTATGGGATAAACATATCCTATCCAAAATTTCGAGGTATTTTTTGTCTGTTATCTAAATTAAAGAACATTGGTTAAAACAACTTTTAAAAATATGCTTAAATATACAAAAATTTTGTAAACTTTAAAAATTAATTACATTTCCAGGTAACAGACATTGCTCATCTAGGTAGGCCAACATACCAACTTTTGGCTAAAAAAAAATTACTAATAATAAAATAATAAAAAAAAAAATATTGCAATAACCCTATACATTTAAATTAAACCAGAATATAATATATCAAATAGTATAAGTCAGATAGTTCTCTATAGTAATGTTTTTAATTATAAACTCTTAAATATTTACAAAATATAAAACGTTTATATGAAATGCTCAAGCCTAGATAAAGTTAACTTGGAATTCATTAAAGCTTAAAACTATTTTAAACATGCTGAATCATTGACAGCATTAATTGTGTAATTATCACAGACATGATGCAGAAAAAATAAATAAATATAGCAAAACACTTGACAATTTTGTTGGAAATATTCATGAAAAAATATTTTGTTTTTTCCATGAGTATTTATTCATTGAATATATTTTTAATCATTATATCAAAATTACTGCTTAATTCAGCTTTAACTACTTTTTTATGCTACTAGAACACAGTAGAAAATACTTTTCTTAACTGATTTGATGCCATTATGCATGGAAAGTACAGTGCTTTTTTTTAACATGCCAGTTATAGTTAGAATCCATTGAAATGTTTGGGAATAGATTTTTTTTTTTTTAATATTTTACCTCCCCAAGGCTGAGAAGGCCACTACAGTTGAGGAGGCTACTTTAGTTGTGGTTACAACCCTAGACAAACAAGACAGCTTTTCATATTTATTTTTCACTTTTCTTTGCATGTTTACTTTTTTTTGTTCCATATAAAAAATTTTCAGCATTACATATACAGTAGGGTATATTGAAATATTAGTTAAACAAAAAAAAAAAAAAAATTGATTAAATTTGTTTATGTAACAGCAATAAAAGCTGCCTTTTTGTCTCAAATCATTGAAATCCAAAATAAAAAAAATAAAATAAAAAAATGGTCTTCAGGTACCCCAAGGGGGTAATCCAATTGCTTTCAGTTTACTTGAGGAAATTTTATTCATGCAGAAGTAATCAATAAAACATCATTTGATTTTGTTTGACGGTAATACTTTCCAATTAAGGTACTTTTTTTTCACTAAAGTTTTATTCTTGTGTCCATCAAAAAAAGAGGGAACCCACATCATTTAACTTGTCTCGTGCTCATGTTATTTCATATTAATACTTAATTCTCTCAGCTGTACCTTATTTTGATCAAAAACATTAGATATATTCTCTATTTGTTAATATTCCAAAGTTTTCCCTGATGATATGGCTGCAGCTGATCTGTCACATGCTCTTGCCAATGGCATGCTTTATCATAATACTGGTAATTGTAATGCAAAGGATTTTAAAACAGTCTTATTAGTTCCATGCGCAGATTTATTAACATCAGCTTAGCTTTTAGAAACTTAACATCAGCTTAGCTTTTAGAAACTTTGCCTAATTTGCTCTCATCGTCAATTCCAGAACTTTCACCATTAAATACTGAAATACTCCTATTACTAGTGTATTACTAGTGTACACCATTAAATACTGAAATGCTCCTATTACTAGTCTTGGATATTTTCTGATTTTAATTTACTTTTGTCTCTTTTCTTTTTTTTTCTTTGGTTTTCAGCATCTTATGGTGTCTTAAAGCAAATTTTTCTTTGTACTCATTATACCTCTTGTCATTATGTCAGATCTTGAATGGCTTAATCAGTTTCCTACATTAGTCGTGGTAAATCTTTATTAGTTTTAAAACTCTTGTATGTGATGACACTGGAATAAATGATTTTAACCAAATTTTTTCAATGTTTGTAGAAACTTTATCTGCTATTTCTGATATTTCTGGTCTTTGGTAAGAAAGTTTGATTTCAGGTCATGCTTAACAAATAAATAGTATTTTATAATATTCTCATAGGTTGGTAAAATGATCTCAGATAGTTCTTGATTCAAAAATTGGGCAAGTTCAACTTTTTTCTTGTTTTTCAGTCGGCTAGTTAATTGTAGGCCAGAAGAATTTATATGTTTATACGTAAAGTGTTGTCCACAAATTACATCACGCAATAGGTAGGGCACAGTGTGCCCAGGACATGAAAAAATTCATTTTTATGACGTTTTATTTTTTTACTTTAAATAGTACATTCATGTTGTGTAGAATATATGTAGGTCAGTGCAAAAAAATTTTACGAAATTCATCAAACCATTTTGTTTTTATAGTTGTTAAATTTATCAAACCATTTTGTTTTTATAGTTTTGAAGTTGAAGAAAAAAGTGATGCAAAATATCTATCTTAAAATTGTACCAATACTGTTTTTTAACAATAACTTTGAAATGCTATTCATCAAAAACTACTCCATGAATTAGGAGGCCGCAAATAAACTCAACTGTTTCATACAAGACAGATTTTCTATTTTTATGTGTAAAAATTCTACAGCCCAGTTATTCCCAGAAATTGAGTAATTTAAATTTTAATGTTAATTGTTTGTACGTATTGATATTCGAGGTTGCATAATTATGAAAATCAACTTTCACAGACGATTCAGGAATACCTATTGATAACATTGTGAAAAAATGACATTCATTTGAATTTCTAAGCATCATGTTATTTGGGACACCCTGTAGCTTTTTTACTATTCAAAATATATTGTTATTTAATTCAGTGATCAAACGGAAAAACTTACCTACAACAAAAATTTTGGATGATATTGTGGACATCGTGGAAAAACATGCAAGTGAACAGGGACTAGATAAGTCAGAATACTTGAAAGAAATTGTTAAAATATGTGAAAAAAGATTCGGATGGAGGAAGGAGTAAAACTTCTAACAATAACAATATAGGAAGCAACTGCTTTAATCTACAACTTGGATCTATCTATAAATAAATATCAGGTAAAATATGCAATCAAATACTATTGCAATAAATTTTTTTTATAACTGTATTTTTAAATTTTATATATTTCCCCAGGAGCGAAGACTTCTCCCAAAACTAAAGTTGCCAATAAGGAATGATGTAGATACCTTTAAGCGTACTTTGCTACACAAGGAATTGAGCAGTGATAACAAGTAAACTTCATCCCCTGTGAACAGTGTAATCAAATACTGTAATAAGACACTGTTGAGTCTCTGCTTGATATATCCAGGTTTTGTGTTGAAAATCATTCTATACATGTAGAGGGTAAATTTGGACTGGAAATCACAACTATCGTCATCAGTTTTCTGATCCTCAAGATGAAGACTTAAAGGGAACAAATTATATTTGTTACTCTAATGGCTTGTTACTCTAATGAAAGCAAAAGAAACTAAGGAGAGTGTAAAGGAGTATTTTAAACCAACTCTGAGTCAACTGCCTAAAAATGAAACTCTAAAAAGCCTATTCTTTCAGAAAATGGTTTACAAATATTTGTAAAAACAGAGATAAGTATGGTTGATAACAAAATGGTAGATTTATTGGTGGGTGATTCTGGAGCTTTTTGTCACTATTGCAATTCTTACTTACTACTTAGCATTAATCAGCATGATGAAGTTAGCAAAAAAGTTGATCCTGATTAAGTTAAAGAAGTTGGTTATGGATTGATGATATTTAATAAACAGACATTTACATGGGATATGCTTAGTCCCAGCTTGCATCAAATGTGCATAAATGTCTGGGAACTGTTTATTATCAACGGTGGATCACCTACTGCTAAGTACTCTGAGCAGTCAGGCAAGAGTTGGAATAAATACATTAGGGCTTATAAATCAGGAACAAGTTGTAAAGCAAGACAGATGTCTTTGCAATTAAATACACATGACATTTACTGCAGACTGATGGTAACAACACATCCAATCATTGCCAGTAAAAAATTTTTTTTTTGCAATGTGGAACATGTGGAAAATTTGAACATACTGCAAGAGGGTGTAAAGTAGACGTGAACAACGTATTTAGTGAGGAAAAAATAATAATTCAAGAATGTTTTCTGTGACCATATAAAATCATTAAGACTCTGTGTCTTTAAGATCTGTGTATAATATTAAATTATTATGAACTCAAATATTTTCATTTTGAATTGGATATGATATCTTTTTCCAAAAATTATATTAGCCAGAAATTACCCATATATTATTTATACCACATCCCAGAACCAAGTTGACCCTAAAGCAACCTAGCTAGCTATTAGCTTGCTGGTCACAGGCATCGCTGAGCTATTTTTTATATGGGGTGGTGGAAGACAAATTTTTTAAAAATAATTTTTTTTTAATTTATATTTTATAGTTTATTTGAAAAATTTAGAAAAAGTAAGGGCATGACTCTTAGCGCCCTCCCCCTCCCCCATCCTCTGAATCAGAGTGTACACACGTAAAATTGGGTGTTAGCAATTTTGTGACATTTTGTCAGAAGGGGAAGGAGGGGGTATTCCATTTTGTGATGCAACATTTTTTTAAGTTTCAAATCTAGAAAAAATACTGATCAAAAGAGTGCCTAGCCTAAATAATTAACACTCAGTTGATGCATATACACTCGACTGCAGCTAATCCAATTTAACTAAAATTGGACTGACTTTTTAAATTGACTTAAATTAATGTAGACTTCATCTTTATCAGTCAATGATATAGCCAATATATAATTGATGAAAATTAATAATATAATTATTAAATAAAAGTAACAATATAATAATTATTTAAAAAACAATATTAATTAATACACTTAATTAGCATAAAACAATACAATTAATTAGCATAAAACATTGTAATGTTAATATAACAAAACCCAAATTACAGCAGATAAAGAGGGCAGGTTTAACATTCCATCTCTAATTCATGGGATTGATCTTATTACCCCTACCAAGAATAAGACAGAACTATTTGCTCGTTTAATAACTCGTTTCTTAAATCTTATGGCCATAATCTTCTTTCCATTCCAATTAAATAGATTAACCAATTGTTAGACATTCAAATCACTCCAGCTTCTGTTGCTAAAGCCATATCTAAATTAAACTCTTCAACAGCTTGTGGTCCAGACAACATTCCTGTCATAGTCTTACAAAATTGTTCTCCAGAACTTTCTTTAATTCTTTTAAAACTATTTAATAAGTGCTTGATCGAGTCTTGTTTTCCTGCCTGCTGGTAAACATCTGTTGTTCCAATTTTCAAAAACTCTAGAGAACATTCTAACCCCTCCAACTATTATTCGATAAGTTTTCTTTCTGTTATTAGCAAGGTCTTTGATTCTTTGATAAACGAATTTCTCACATTCCATCTTGAGTCAAATAACTTATTGTCAGACAACCAATATGGTTTTTGATCCTCTCGCTCTATAGCTGATTTGCTAACTGCTGTGACTGAAAGATTTTATCGTGTGTTAGATGAAGGTGGTGAGGCTAGGGCTATTGCTCTTGACATATCTAAAGCTTCCAACAAAGTTTGGCATGTTGGTCTTCTTTATAAACTTATTTCATATGGTGTATCTAAGAAAGTTTTTGAGATTATTAAACCATTTCTTTCTAAATGTTTTATTTAAGTCATTCTTGAATGTCAAAACTCTTTTTTAATTCTAGTAATTTCTGGGTACCTCAAGGTTCTATCCTTGGTGCTATTTTGTTTTTAATATACATAAATGATCTTCTCGACAATCTTACATCCAAAGTAGCTTTTTTTGCTGATGACTCAACTTTATACTCTAGCCTTGAAAATTTTCTCTTTTTAAACGCTTAGGGCAGGAAGCTAATTTTGAATCTGATCTTACTTCTGTAACAGTTTGGGGCTCGCAGTAGCTTTTAAATTTTAACTCCAACAAAACCCAGTTATTTACTGCAAACAGCAATCACTATACTGTCAACATTCCTATATTAATAAATGGCAACCCTCAGTTTGAGTCCTCTTCATTATATCTTTTTGGATTATTGTTCACTACTGACCTCTCATGGAAACCATATATGTGTGGTTCCGAGTTTGATCCCCACCACGTCACTGGTAGTACCGCGCTCAACTCGTTTCTCTGCGCAGCGGCCTTGTTCGTCAAGGTTTGTGTTTGGAGTTATAGAGTTGAGAGAGGGTTATAGCCACAAATAAGTAACCTCCTCGTCTGTAGTGGCCTTCTCGGCCTTGAGGAGGTGAATTAAAATAAAAATAAAAATATATACAATCAATTGCTAAGTTAGCATTTGCTAATGTTGCTTCTCTTTATGGTGCTCATCATTTTCTTACTACTGATTCCATTCTCTATCTCTACAGATCTCTTATTTGCTCCTGTATTAAACACTGTTGTCATATTTGGGCTGGTTCTTCTAATGATGCTCTTTTCACTTCTAGACAAGGTCAAAAAACGCATTGTAAAAGTAGTTGGGCCCACTCTATCTGGTAATGTTAAGCCTCTTTCCCATTGCCATAAAATTGCATCACTTTCTTTTTTCTAAAAATACTATCATGGTCGCTGCTAAAAGAAGCTATTATCTCTAGTTCCATCAACTAAAACTCATTCTCGCTGGACTTATCATTCAGAAAAATGCATGCTCTAAAAAATTTTATTTGTCTAGTTTTTTTCCACGCACTTTAATTCTTTGGAATTCTCTCCCACCTTCATGTTTTCCTGAATCAACCTACAATTTTTTAAGTCTTCTGTCAACCGTTTCTTTGCTCTATTCTTTTTTTCTAGACTCCTCTAACTCCCAACTTAATAGTGGTTGCTTGCAACCTTGTTGGAAGTGAATCAGAATTTTTTAATGCTGAAAGATTATATGAAATTTAAAATTTACTGATGAAAATTAATTTAGTTTTAATAAAATATTATTTAAGAATTAATAGTAAAAAAATTAATTATTTAACAATAAAAATAATTAATTTTTAATAGAATATTATAAAAGAATTAATAGTAAAAAAGTTAATTATTTAATAGTAAAAAAAAAATATTTTATCAACTTGTTGCTCTGAGGAGGGTTGCAAACTTTTTTTTTGTTTCTTTTTTTTTATTTGAATTTTTCATGCTATATTTTTCTATACAATGTTCTTATATCTGAAGATATTGTTGGCTTAGCATAGGAATCATTAAGACTAATTCCAAGTAGCATCCGTTATTGACTAACATTTTTGTATCTTACAACAGCCCGGGTTTAAACTTTTTGTTCTACGCTCTAACCAACTGAGCTATCCAGCGCTAGTCTCCAATCAGGGCAATTACAATATTATTATCTGAACTACATTATTATTAGTATCCATACAAACTACATTATTTACATTTAACATTGTTCTAAAATAAAAAAACATGTTATAAAAAGTAAAAATATATATTTTTTAAATGAACTTTTTTGTTAAAACATATTTTAAAAATAGCTATCTTGAATATTCTTATTTGAAAAAAAATATACTTATATATAATTAGTATACAAATACATGTTGAAAGATATTTTTTTAAATATTTACATTTTTATCTTCAGTATCCTAAATCTCTTCTCTGATTGGTAAAGTTATTATTTTATTACCTTTTATTTTTTAATTAAGAATAAAAAGATTAGAAGGACTATAATTTTTTAGATTAGCCTATTTTTATTTTGTTACAAATTTAAATATCTAATTTTTATTTTAGTCTACAGTTTTTATATTAGACAGAAATATAACTATTAAACATACATAACTCTGCTATTTATTTTTGAAATTAGAAAGTTGTGCATTTAAAAGACTTTTTTTATCATTTAAAGCTAGCTCTGCTTGGATTTATTAACTGTAAATTTTTCTATAATTAAAAGCAACTTTGTTTAACTTTTACAAAACACATTAATTTTATAAATCAAATGCATAAAATATTATTAAAGTTAATCATATTTTAAGATATATTCAAGTCAATAAACTGTTCTTGCATGTTTTATAATTGTTGAGAAAATTAATATAAACTTACAGCATCAATTAATTCACAAATGATTGCATTGTTAAAATAATCAATGTTAATCCATTCAATTCCCTATACAAAAAAATCATTTATACTTTTCATGCAGCATTTTTTTAACTATCATCTTTATTGAAAAGTTAAAAAACTAACCTCTCTAACATATTCTTCTTGTTCAGTTTTGAGGGTGAGTTCAATAAAAAGTTGCTGAAGTTTTTCATTGCAATAATTAATGATGAATTGCTCAAATGCATTCTCCTGCAAATAAAACACTTGTCATTTCAAATTAACTTCTTCAAAAAATTAGTCTTTGCTGGTTCAGCCATATTAATTATTTACCTGAAAAACTTCAAAACCATAAATGTCAAGAACACCAATGACTTTTTTTCCATAAGAAACTTTAGGAGCCTTAAATTAAATAATAAATTATAAAGTATTCTAAAACAAACTGCATTAAATTTATGTAAAATATAAATTTTATTTAAGGAAAAAGTATTTACTCTGATTTTGTCATTAATACGAAATATAATCCAGTTGAACAGTTTATTATAAATAGCTTTACAGAGTGCATCCCGACCATAAACAGCCTAAAAACAAAAAATGAAGAACAATAGAAAAAATAACAATTTTAACATTAATTTAATAACACTTAAGAGCATGAACTTAAAAAGTGAAATGCATTTATTTACATATTTTTAACAGCTGAAATATTTTACATACCTTTCCTTTACTAAGTGATGAAAGCACTTTATCAGAACCAGATTCAACAGTTCTAGCAATAAGAATATTTGTAAGTGTTTGAGGAGAACAACCAAATAGTTTTGCAGCTAACTCGATATCTATTTGTTAAAATTTTATTAGATTTTTTTATTATTATTAATTTAACTGCTTAAAGTTTTTAACAATTATGAAACTTACCATTAAAAGTTTCAATTTCAACGGTATCGACACCATTTTTAAAAGTATCAGTAAATTGAACATTACCAAGATGCAAAACACCTGCTACCAATCTATAAATCCCTTCAATTTCATTCTCAAAAAACCCGATTTTCTTCATGGCATTCTGGATAATGAAAAGTAATCAAAATTAAGTATAAAGTATAAACTAAAACATTAAATTTAAAACAGAATTTTACATTCTAATATTACAACCATTACTATAATCATATTCTTTATATTAAATAACAATTATACTATATCATAAATAAAACAATAACAGAGTACATATATCATGCGACTTTATAAAATAAGAACAGAGTACATCATATCACATGATTTTATCAAACAACAACAGAGTATGTCATATCATGTGATTTTATCAAACAACAATAGAGTACATCATATCATGTAATTTTATTTAACAATAAAAAAGTACATCATATCATGTGATATGTGATAATGATAGTTTAAGAGCGAGAAAGTAGTTGACAGAAAACTTTGGTTCTTTTTTTTGAAGTAGCATATTTAACTCATCTTGTAGCAAAAGATTTTCAATCTAATTAAGATTTCCCGACTTGAGACCTGCTTTGTTTAAATATCCCAAAAAGGCTAAATTTTTTGCAAAAGTTAACTTTTGATAAAATGAATGCAAAATTCTTGAGGCTTCATAATAACTTCATATTGTCCTCATTCATTCACTTATCTACATGAATTTTCAATTTTTTTATGAGTTTATTACTTAATTTGCTGTTCAAATCTGAAAGTTTATTGAACATGAATTTATTCATGTTCAATAAACTTTTTTCAATAAACGTGATTTCAGCACTCTTTAATGTTGCATCTTCAGGAATGGCTCGTTAAATTATCAGCAAATTTAACGAGCCATTCCATGGCCTTGAGTACTACTTTTAGAGCAGAAAAGTCTAACATTTCTATTTTGTCCAACACCTTTACTTTAGTTAAATTTTACAAACTGTTGATTATTGGCTTGATCATTGATGGAATTAACATTTCATCCAAATAGAATTTTACATCAAAATGAAGCTCCATCACAAAGCCAAATTTATGCTCTATCTTGCTTAGAAAGACGTGGTTACTGACTATGGATTTCTTGATGAATTTCACAAGTTTTCATGAATTCTAAAGCAGATCATTATAATTTATGTCTTCCTGTTCAATTATATCATTGCTTATGGTTTCCATATTCATTCCATCATTAATGTTGTCAATTTCACTAATCTCTCAGCTATTCAAGCTATTCAAAATCACCAACTCTTTTCTTTTGTATCACACACTCCCATATGCAAAGGTTTTGAGACACCATAAGGTGTCTTGGTTTAAAAATTGTAGGTTATGGTAAACTTGAATGATGCAGGGAAATTCTTCTGCAGCTTGTAATCCAGATAACAATTCTAATTAACCTTAATCTTAATTGCAACTTAATTGCAACTCACACCCTCATAAACAGTAAATTAAATCTAATAATTCTTAACTAATAATTCTTAATTGCCTTTCCATTAATGTTTTAGTGAATAATTCAAACTAATCATGTTTTCCATTAAAATGGAGAATTCAAACTAATAATGTTTTCCATTAATGTGGATAATTCAAACTAATAATTAGGAGTGAGCAAAAACATGTATCAGTCATGGTGTGTAAAAACCATATCTGATACCCATATTTTCAGAAAGTTAAAATTTCTCAATTTTCTGGATATCTTATTGTGCATAATCGGATATCTGTTTAAATCAGATCAGAAACCAGATTTATCCGAATCCAAAACTAACTATGCGAACTGGAAATTCTTCTGATCATCCACAGTCTTATAAAATCCATAACCACATGTCATATACTAGAGATGTCATGAACATTCTGTGACTATTCGCTATTCTGCAACTTTTTTTACTATTCATCCTTTGATGGAAGATTGCAAACTATTCAGCCAAATGCCAGATTGTAACAAAAAAAAAATGCATAAAAAAGGATAACATAGAGCTATTATTTGAAACTTAAAACCTAAAGGTGGTAAGTTATGATAAAAAATTTTTCACCCTTTGATGATAGCAGATGATTGCAAATTTTTCAAACTATACATACTTCCAAATATAGCTATTCCCTTAGTACACTGCCACCAGCAAATAATAAATTTTTAGCAAGTTCTGTTAGGATAATGTTTTGCATTTGCTGACATAAACATAAACAGCTATTTTCATAACTACATATTTTTTTAAAACACATTAGCATAAACAATAGTTTTATATATCTTATAATTATAATAAAGATAAATATTTAAAGTAAATAAATATTTAGATATTTTATTTATTTATAAATAAACATTGCATTTACTTTTAAAAGAAATAATAATAAAAATACTTAATTATATAAAATTATGGTTCTGTTAATGATAAATTTAATAACAAAAAAAAAACTATAATAAAAATGTAGTTAAAAAAATAAAAAAAAATAAAAATTAAATAACTACTTTAAAATTAATATGTTTATTAAAGCTTATTAATAATTATTTAATTCTGTTATAATTATAAACATTAGTAAAATGCTAAAAGATTAATTTATTTTATGCCACTATTCTGCAACATTACCTGTAGCCTCCTTGTTTGTAGTGGCCTTCTCGGCCTTGAGGAGGTGAAGTAAAATAAAAATAATAAAAAAATAAAAAAAAAATCATTGTTTTTAAAAAATATGAAAAACTGGATCGGATCCGGATATCTAATTTATTAATAACTTTTTATCCGAATTTATAAAAAAACAGATATTTAAATTTCAGATTCTTTAATTTGAATACCAGACCAGAAATTAGGATATCTGATTCTGATATTTTTGCTTGCCCCTACTAATAATGTTTTCCATTAATGTTCTTGTGAATAACTACAACTAATAATGTTTTCTATTAATGTTCTTATGAATAATTCAAACTAATAATGTTTTTCATTAATGCTCTAGTGAATTCAAACTAATAATATTTCCTCTAATTTTTTAATGAATAAAGTGAATGGCTAGTAGTTGCATCTGTAAGAACATCTGTTCAAATTTCAGAAACAAAATTCAAACCTTACACTTGAAAGTACTGAAAGTGGCTGAATTTTTTTCTCTACACAACAAAGATTTAGTAATATGATTTCCGTAAGTAATATGGGTTTCCTAAATTCACTTCAACTGCAAATTCATCGTTGAAGAGACAAATGTTGATAGATCTAGTCTAACTAAATCATTACTGTCTTTCTATGCTTGTAGAATTACTTTAGAAATGATGTAGATCTTCATAGATTTAAAAGTAATTTAAAAGGATCAAAAACAACAGTAAGATATTATTCTATTGCCTGTTGCACATCCTGTTGCACATGCTGATGAAATGAAATAGACACACAAGAGCATACAAGAGCAAAACTATGAAGTAGTTACAGCACAAGTTAGTGATACAAAACATATTTTTCTGCTGTATCAAAGGCAGATTTATATCACAAGTTAGTGATACAAAATCTGCCTTTGAGACAGCAGGCCTGAAGCTAGTTACTGCAAACATAGAAAACAATCAGAAAAGAATTCTCCTCATGACAGTTTTATAGGGCCAAGACAACTTTTAGCTGTACTGCATAATATATGTTTTTCTACACGAATGTATTCTGTTGAATGTTGAAAAGATACATTGCTGTACTTTGTAGATGCAAGATGCTCCAAATGATAAGCACTATTTATTTATACAGCAGTCAAATAGTTTTTTTTTTTATAATAGTGTTATTATAAAATTAGTATGTTAAAGATTTATTTTACTTAGTAATCATTTAATTATGTAAATGTATTCTGATGCATTTTGACAAAGTAATGCAAGCAAATTTAAAAAATTAAATACAAAAACAGGTATAAAAAGAAAAATTGAAAATAAAATTCAAAAATTATATATATTTACTTTTATTAGATATCTTATGAAAGCCCAGTTCCCTTAGCAAAAAACTTAAATAAAAACTTGTTATCATGTTTGTCTTCTTTTATCGTGTATAATATATAAGTATTATAATTATTAAAAAAAAAAAAAGTTTTTCAGCATAACAGTAGATTTGAATTAAAGAAATCGTTAGGATGTTGGTACAGTGGTCAGCGCATTAAACCACTGCGCTAATGAAAACATGTTTAACAGTAAAACAAACCATTCTATAAATTTATTATGCCGATTGTAATGATTCAACAACTTTGAAGCAGATAAACAAGCACAACTATATTGCATAGCAGCATTGAATAGAAACTTATAAAAGAAATATTTAAAAACAACAATATTTTATCAAAAAAAAAATTAAATTTAAATAAATTATTATTAAATAGAATTTTATTATTTATAGAGGTGTAGTATGCAAATGTAAAAAGCAATATATGTAACACTTAAATGTAAAAAATCTACTTATATAACATTTAGTACAAATATCTGTGTAAACATCAGTACTACCAACAGTAGGTAAGTTAAGTTTGCAAATTGCATATTTAAAAATCATGTATGTATAATATAATATGATAGTTCTGCTTGCTAAAATTACATTATAATTTAAAAAATCGACATTGAAAACAGCTTAATTTAGTAGGAAGGACTTTAAATTCAGAATTTTTCTTTAAAATCAAAACGCGAAAAAAGTACATGTACAACTACAACTTTTTTTGTTCGAAAAGCAATAATTAAATGAATTATTTTTCTACTGTTTACAAAAAAAAAAAAAAAAAAAAAAAAGGAATAGAAACTAGGTCGATAGAAGATAGATAATAGAGGAATAAGTATAGAAATAGAGGTTAGTGCCAGGGGTGTGGAGTCGTAAAAAAAAGTAACGACTCCAACTCCAGTTATTGAAATTTTTGAGTACAACTCCTACTCCGACTCCAACTCCAAAGCAAAATTTTTGAAAAATTCTTTGAATTCTTTAAAAAAATATTGCGCGATAAGTTGAAATTTTTTTTTTGACAAATTTCTTTGAGGTTTAGTATGAACATAAGGTTAATTGAATGTTTTGTACATACATGTGCAATACCAAGAAATATTACTATCGGAATCGGAGTTGCGATATTTTTTAGCGACTCTTTATTTAAAATCTTCTCTAAAGTTTGAAGTATCAGTTTGAAACAAAA